TCCTACGTTTCCCGTACCGGTACGTAGCGACTGCGTACTACTCTTCTTGTTGGTTCGTTTCTTCGTAGTGTCGAGTCTCGTGTCGTTGTGTGTGTGTGTGTGTGTGTGTGTGTGTGTGTGTGTGTGTGTGTGTGTGTGTGTGTGTGTCTCTGTCTGTCTGTCTGTCTTAGGGTTGTTTTTAAGTGTTACCTTTTTCTGATGTCAAGTGCAATTCCTGTCCACTGTGGAAAAGTCCAGGAAAATAGAAATAGGTAATGTGGAAAAGATGTCCTGTGATTGCACCCCAACCCTGCCCTGCATCCTCACAATAACACTGTCAGCCCAGCTGGGGGAGCCTTGTCATTGGGGGCCTCACAGCTTGAAGCCATGTTTCAGAGGGAAAGTGGCGTGCTGAGGGGAGGTCGGACTAGAAGGCTGGGAATGGATTCCAAGGCTCCTGCGGCAGCCCAGGCAAGTGGCCAGCGCCTGGGCCAGAGCTTATGGGAGGGAATCGACGGGCAGATGGTTAGGAGGGAGAACGTCCAAGCCTCCTCCTGTCTTGGACAAGATTCTGCCAGAGAAGGGCAATGGAATTCACTTCTTGCCCTTGGAGAATTGACAGTCCCCTTAGGGAAGCCAGGGAGCTTGGAGGAGGAAACAGACTTCTGTGCTCCAAGGCACCAAGTAACAGGCCCCAGTGTGTGCCGCATCCCAGAGGCCTGGCCACACCTCAAGGCAGGGCCTAGGTGTGGCCTCACGGTCCAGAGTCCAACTGTCAGGACAGGAGGCTGTCAGCTCACTTAGGACAGAAAGGGCGGGACGGCTACCTCTCACCAACCCCACCGGGAACTGAGAAGCTGGTGTTTCCAGAGGCTAATGATTTACCTCTTGAGGTATTTATAGTAAGGTTCTACCATGGTGATAGAGCAGTGCTGTCCAGTCAAAATACATTCAGTCTTCCGCATCCAAATATGTATCCAGCTATGAAGGCTGGCTGTCCCATGCCATTTTATATAAGGAACTTGAGCATCTGAGGATCTTGGTATCCAAAGAGGGTCCTAGAATCAATCTCCTGCAGGTACCGAGGTACAACTGTATAATGTTAATCATAAATTTGAGCGCAGAGAAAGAAAAACTCTCTTGTTTTTCCTTATACTCCACACAATACTCCACCTCTGACACTTCTGGTTACCAGATGTGTCTGGGTGTTTCCCATATCAAGCAATTCTCCAATTTTCAGTGGACACAGAAAGGGTGTCCTACAAATTTAGCTTATTTTGACACTACCTGGGGACAGCGTGTCAGATCCCATAGGTGAAGGGCTCAGTCCAAGACTGTCCCCACTTCAAATGCTAATTGCAAATCCAGGTTGTCACCTGTGCCCCTGACCAACCATTTATTTATAAATTGGAGATTCCCATGACCCCCTTCTTAGGTTCGATTAATTTACTAGAGTGGCTCACAGAACTCAGGAAAGCAGCCTACTTACTGGATTATCACTTTATTATTAAAGGATACCACTTAAGAACAGCCAGATGGAAGAGATGCATTGGATAAGGTATGTGGGAAGGAGTAAAGAGCGTCTATACTCTTCCTGGGCCGGCCATCCTCCCAGAACCTCCACGTGTTCACCAACCTGGAAGTTCTTTGAACTTCAGGGATTTTTATGAAGACTTCATTATGTAGGCATGATTGATTAAAGCTTTGACCACTAGTGATCAACTCAATCTCCAACCCCTTTCTCGGGAGGTTGAGACTGAAAGAGCCAACCCTCTGATCATGTGGTTGGTTCCCCTGGCAGTCAGCCCCCATCCTTAGGGGTTTTCCGAAAGTCATCTCATTAACATAAACTCAGGAGTGGTTGGAAGGGGCTTGTTATGTGTAACAAAAGACATTCATTTCACCTTTATCTGAATGGCTTTGAAGGTATTTCAGAAACTGAGGACCAGATTAAATATTATAACAAAAGATGCTCCTCTGGCTCTAATATATGTAAACCAGGGCTTTAGGAGCTCTGTGTCAGAACAGTGGACAAAGACCAAATACATAGTTCTCAGACAGGAAGGAAGAGGGCAGTACACAGCCATTAAAGGAATGACACAGCAATTAGCATCAAGATGGCAGAAAAGTCAACTCCCAATAGACCTGGAGGCCTGAGATAGAGGGAGACTTGACCTCCAGTGGATCTTGAGCTTCATTATACACTTTTACTCAACTATGGCTCACTCACTCTTGAATTCTTTCCTGCATGAGTGCTCACTTCGGCAGCACGTATACTAAAACTGAATTCTTTCCTGCATGAAACCAAGGACCCTCACTTAGTGGGGCGCATCCCAGGGACTCAATCGAAACCTGGGAAATGGCCATCCTCTCACGTTCTTTCATTTTCCTGTATCTGTTCTTATTACAAGCCACAATATCACAGCAAGCCACTTATGTAATTTTAGATTTTTAGTAGCCACGTAGTAAAGAGTAAAAAAAAACAGGTGAACTTGATTTTAGTAGTATATTTTATTTAACCCAATATAGCCAAAATATCATTTTACACAAAATCAATATAAAAATATCAATGAGATAGTTTGCATTCCTTTTCCTACCAAGTCTTACAGCACATCTCAGTTTGCACTGGCCACATTTCAGGAGCTCGTAGCCACATGTGGCTGGTGGCTACCATACTGGACAGCACAGGCTTGGAGCCTTCCCTGCTGTGGCTGAGGCCAACAGGAGCCTGTTTACTGCTGTATCCCAGTGCCTGGCACATAATGAGGCCCAGTGATCTGCCATATGTGAGCGGGGGTAATCTCCTTGAGCCAACTGGGGCTGTTGTGAAGGTTAAAATGATGTATGGTAGATGTCCTGCCCAGCGACTGTTGTTGCAGTGTACTTCCTCAAAGTCAGCTAAAGGGTGGTAGGCCCAGGCTGGCTTCCCGTCTTCTTCTTAAGAGCTCTTCTCTAAAACTACCAAACGCAAGTTTGAATTCCTGAGCGGGCAAGGCCTTGGAGTCTGGCTCCCCAGCAACAAACGAAAGTGCCCTAGGGTTTCTTTTCCCCTTGACAGCTCGAGGCCCCGCCCGCCCCAGCCCTGACCGACGCCCGGCAGAACTACAGTCCCCATGATGCAGCGGGAGTCCCTAATTTTACGTCATCGGCTTGGGACGCCGCCGCGGTGAATCAAGGCGCTGAGACGCCTCTCCAGGCGCTGACCCAGCGGACCCCTGACCCATAAGGAGTAGTAGAGTAAACCCGGCTGAACTCGGAGTCCACTGACTCACCCGGGCTAGAACGGCAAACCTGCGGCGGCTGGTGACGCGCGCGTCCTCCCTCCTCCTCCCACCTGTCCCCGGGGTGGCGCTCGTCGTTGACGTCGGGGCTATAATGGCCGCCGGGAGGCTAGGAAGGTGAAGGTGAGAGGGCGAGCGCGCCGGGTGGTGGGGCCCGGCCCGGCCCAGCCTGGCGAGTCCAGAGCAGTCTGGCGTGGGCTGGCGGGACGCTGGGTTCCCGGGGGCTCGGGATGCAGACTGGCAGGAGTCCACACGCTCCGGCCTCCCCGCCGGGCCCTCCGCGGCCCTGAGGGGAGGGGGCGGGACTCGGGACTCGGGGGTGGGGTCCCCTGAGGCTCTTTGTTACCCCTGCCTTCTCACCGTTCACCGCCACCTTCCACCCCTGCCCTCTCCCCACTTCTCGTCCATTTCTCTGTATTTGGCAGCATTTATTCAGCACATGATAGGTGCCCGCGTTCTTCACCTAAAGCTCCCTTCTCCGACTTCCCCAAATTTGGGCACTTACTGCTCTCGCACAGTAGTCTGTTTACTTGTTTGGCTTTTTAACGGACGGTATGCCCCTTGAGGGCAGGGACTGTTTTTTAATCCATCCCTAACGCTAGCGCCTAGCACACACAAGAAGGCACACAGAAAATGCCGAATAATTAGCTCCTTGGATGCATGAAGCCAAAACGGCCCATTCCCTTCTGTTGTAAGCCTTCATTGCTGTTTCTTTAATCTATCTTCTTTCTTTTTTTTCTCCCAGAAAGGGCTCTGACTGTCACCCTTCCCACCCCCAAGGGTGGAGTAAGGCAGCTCCACATAATTGAATACAAGCTTTTCAGTCAAAGGGACGTGCTATCTCAGTTCCCAGCTTGGACTTAACTGGCAGGTCCATAAATCTTTTAAATATTCTGAGCTTCTCTGCACCATAGAATTGAGAATTAAGTAGATATTTTACAGCATCTGGCAGATAGAGAGAGGCTTTTAATAAGCTCCACTTCTCTTTCTCAACTCCACCCTCCCGTCTCTAGTCCTCAGTTCCACAGTCCTCAAGCCCAGCCCTTGTCCTGCTCTCTCCTCTCGCCCCTGCCCCTCTGAATGTGCCTTTACCAGGGCCCCTGCTTCTTAACAGCACATGCTGAACACGTGATTGTGCACACCCAGGCTTGGCCCCACAGCTGTGTTTTGTTTTTCCCCAGGGCGCTTCCTCACATGCCATCCCAGTACCTCAATGAATAAGCTTCCCTCTGGGATGAGTTTGTTTGGCTTTTAAACCTGATTAGACTTGTTTAGCACCAGCTTTTTTTTTTCTTTTCTCTTCTCCTGCCTGTTGACCTTTCCCTTTTCCTTTCCAATTAGTCAGAATTGGTGGAGTCAACACAATCGGTAACCAACCTCAACCTGAGACAGGACAGAGAAGAACTCAAATTCTTTTCGTCTTTTTGACTCCAGCCATGTCCATGATGCCCACCCTGTGAAGGTCTCTCACCATCCAAAAAGTAAGTGGTGGCTGTGACATCTGGCACCCTGGATCTGGCTTGACTGGAAAGGGATGTACTTTGCTGGCCATCCAGTGGCAGTTCTCTTGGATGGGGTCATCTTTTCATGGACTTGGAGTTTCCCAGCCTGTGTTGGAAAAAAAAAAACTATCTCCTTTCAACTTCCATGAAGGATTTCACTGACTGGGGAGAGAGCCTGTTTAAAGGCTGGCAGTTTAGAAAGTGGCTGGGATCTCTGGGCTCTCTGAAGAACGAGTCCCTGTCTCCCTTGTTTGTTCTCTGCTGTGCTGGCTCCTCCCTTCCCCTCTCTGCGCAGCAGAGGTAGGCTCGTTGGCTCCTTATCACAACTCTTCTAAGAATCTGCTCTGCCCCTTTACCCTGTATACTCTTTTGTTTCAATTTCTTAGCTTCTCCTCTGTTCCAGTTGTGCCAGCAGACGATCCGTGGATCCATTTTATTTTTCCTACTAGGAGCTGCTGTGCATTAAACTGGGTAAGGAGGTGGTGTGGATTCATGGACTGTGCTTGGGATCCAGACACCTTACAGTGAATTTTGCTGCTGCTGTCACTACACGCAAGGCACCTCATGCTCCTTAACTAACAGCTTAGGTTGAGACAGAGCTTTTTATTACCTTGGAGTGCTAAGAGCAGTCTAGAATTGGGTTTGGTTCTGGTCTTAGGTTAATATCTGCTAATACCTGCTGATATCTGTTAATACCGTGTCCCAGCACTTTTTTGGAATGGGAGTGGGACACGACCAGGATGGATGAGGCTTTTCCCACAGTATGATTCACAAGGTTTTTAAAACTGTTACAGAGAAGGTTTTCTTCAGATAAATTTCTGAAATGCTGCATGAAATACAGTTAAACTAGGGTCTTTACAACAGGCTTTCCTTCCCAAAGTCTTTGCTGTGCTCATGGGCTCAAACAGAAGGGAACCGTAGCATATAGTGTTTGACAAATTGATTCTACTATGGAACCTTTTTTACATGGAACGTTGGGTGCACTAGAGTTCTGTGGGCCACACTTTGTGAACTGCTGCGTTAAACTCTCTGAAACCATGTCCTCAAGAGCACTTTGAGGCAGTCACAGCAGCTTGAAGCAGGCCGCTTAGTGTATAGTTGCTATTGGAGCTGGACTCTGGCCCAGCTGCGCCTGGGGGACCAGCCCCACATGCCTGCGGTGTGCCCTGCAGTGAAGTAGGGACTATCAGGGTTTTCCAGAGGAGGAGCAGGAACCAGCTGCTTCCCCCTACTCTAGACAGTTAAGAAGCAGCAGACGAAACCCCAAGATAGCAGAGGCCCTAACTTGGCTTGTGTGTGTGTATTTTGCAACTTTGGTCCGTTTGTGCACATATGTATGCCCAGCTTGCTCTTTGGAAGGATTAAATCCTGGAATTGGAAAGGTTTGTTCAACACTCTTGACTCACTGAGCGTCAAATACTAAGAAACAGATCCTTAGCCCAAGGCTTTTTAAGAAAAAAGTGCATGTATGTGTGTCTTCCAGGGATGGAGGGTAGGAGAGTGCTCCCCTTCAGGGGCATTCACTAACTCAAACCGGGTCTCTCACAGTTGGGAGGGAGGAAAGTGGAAATGGAAATGGGTCACTGCTCTCTATCAGAGCCAGACTATTTAGAAGCTGACAGATTAGGAGGAGACAAAGTATGATAAAAAAAACCCCTGAAGTCTGATCGGGTTGCATGGCCCCCATGGAGATGGTATGGATGGAGTAACACTAGAGGTGGGTCTAGAAGGACAAGAGGAGCAGGCCAAATGGGTGAAAAAGGAAAGAGGATTACAGGCTGAAGGCAGCGTGTGTACCACAAACATGGACTCTCAGCTCGGGCACAAATGGAGACAGAGAAATCAGACAGTTCAGAAGGGTTGGCAGTAGGTTCCACATGAGAGGTTCTGGGCGTGTAGCTGCCGGCTGGGGGGGTGTTTGAGCAACTCCTGGATGGGCTGACTTCCAAGATAACCTTGAAGCACTAAGCTTTAACTAGAGTGCATGCTTTTGAATCTTGCATTTCCTGAATATTAATGCTTTTAGTGTCATATCCTTTGGGCTTGCGAACAGTGACCAGAAATTGAAAGCACTTGCTTCTCAAAGCCAGCTGAGCTCTGGGAACTTGCAGCCTGCGAGCAAGTCACTTCTGGGGCAGGGCACCGCTGAGCCTCACCACTGAGCAGACCTGTGTCCTCGATCCCTGATCCCTGTGGCAGCCGTGCGGCAGCCCTGGGGGTGGGGGGGTTGCCCCTGCCCTTCCCTGAAGGCTGGAGATTTGAGGAAAGAGTCTTGTGGTCTTGTTGGTAGAGTTTATTATTGTTGTTTTAGGACATGTAAAGCTACCTTTGAGCTTGTGCTGTGTCATCTTTAATCTTCTCATGATCTGTGTGATAATCTCTCTTGTATGCATGAGGAATCCAAGGCTCTGAGGTTAAAGAACTTGCTCAAGTTTAAACAGCCCAGAAATAGTACAGTTACAGTTTGAACCCGGCTCTGTCTGATTCCAGAGCCTGTCATCTCCAGCGCTGGCTACAACATGCCGTCCCATCCCAGACCCTGTTCTCCTTTCAGTGACTTTCCTCCTCAGCTTACATGTCGCCTGTTTCTCTTAGAGCCTTTCCTGCCTGGCCACGGTAAGCCGGGTTCCAGTGTCCTCTCCTTTTCTGCTTCAGAGGAGCCGGTGGTATTTTCTTCCCAATTCCCCTTCTCAGAGCTCTGCTCTCTTTTTTTCTTCCTGCTGTCTTTCTTATTTAAGCCCTTGACTCATGGCCTCCATGTTAAGAAAATCTCACAGATGTGGCGTATTCCTGAGGAGGAAGGTAGAAATGGACATATAGTCACTTCTCTCGCTCATCTCCCCAGAAATCATTAGCATCACAAAATGATCTGTGGGTTTAAGCAAAACAAGTGGTTCCCAGTTCTCTGGGGTCTCTCTGCCAGCTCCTTGGGATGGTTAGTTCATAGCAGCCAGTTTTTGGTTGTTAGGCATTTTTTCCCAGATATTTTTTCTGCTTCTCGGGACCTTATTCCACACCCTTTGGCATTCTTTGGACGCTTGTCGTGTATGTCCACGCATGAGCAATGCCCTTTCATTTCCCAGATAGAGTGAGTGCCGGGTTGGGTGGGGAGCGGGTGGTGCTGTGATTAGGGTGGCTGGGGAGGGCGGGGCCAACGAGAAATTGCTACCTGTTGGGGAGAGTAGAGCAGGCACACAGCTGTGCACACTACTCCTCATCCTTGGGGGAGGGGGTGGCTTTTTCCTTTGACTTCCCAGAATCCGAGGGCTGTGCTGAAGAAGTAGGTCTGTGCATGGTGGGAACTCTGAGGACCAGTCTGGAGAGTCCCAGCCACATCTGGGTGCCACCTTCTCTGGTCTGTCTGCCTCTTGACTTCGACCAAAGAGCTCTAGGACTTTGGAGGTAAACCTCAAGGCCCTGCACATGTTATGCCATGGGAAAAGAAACAAGCTGCAAACATGTATGCGTGACTGAGTGAGCGCCAGAGAGCTACCCACACAAAACAGACTGTGATGATACGCAGGCGTTAATAGTTCTTATCACAGGATGATGGGGTTATGGTGTTTTTCCTCTTTACTTTCCACATGTTCTACAGTGTGCACATTTATTTATTTATTCATTTAGCTTTAAAAAAGGCTAAATAAGTTTATTATTACATACAAAGGTAGAGAGACTTGTACTGCGATTCCCACGTACCCACCATCCAGCTACAATAGCCATCAGCTCATTTATTTTTGTTTTATCCATCCTGCCTACATTGTACACATTTATAACGAAAGAGAACAGTAAATATTTTCCAGTAAATTGTAGAAGTAGACCTCTCTCTCATTTGAAAATCACCTTTCCTTGTCTACCCCCACCTCCCACCAAAAATAAAAACAAAAAAACAAAACCAGTGAGGAGCTGGGGCCATCAGGACCAAGTGGCCCGGAGAGGGTGGTGGGACAACCAGAGCCTGAGCATCACTTCGCTTTCACTGCTTGCTGTATTCAGTACTTCTCCTCAGGTGGGTGATGTATAGGAAGTAAATGAGATTTCTGCCATTCTTGTCTGCCTGTGAGTCAGAGGAGGGCATTTCTGTGCATTACCTTGTGATTCCTTTTGCATCGCACCCCATCTTCTCTGAGGTGGGGAAGGTGGGCCTGTCCCTGTTCAGCAGGCAGGAAACAGCCGGCACTAGGCCTGCACTCAGGGCCCTGGCTCTAGGGGTCTGGGTCCCACAGTGTGGGACAGGGAGACTGGCCCTGTTGGTCCCTTCCTACTCTTGAGATGCTGGTTCTGATCTCGCTATCCCTGATCTCGTCCTGGAGGGCCCATGTTTTGGTCCTGGGGCCCCCGCTGCTCCCTGCCACATCCCAGCAGAACGTCCTGAGCTGGGTGTCCCTGGGTTTGCTCACATGGTCTCTCTCTTGCAGCGCGATGTCCCTGCTCTTCTCTCGATGCAACTCCATTGTCACAGTCAAGAAGGATAAGAGACACATGGCTGAAGTGAATGCTTCCCCACTCAAGCACTTTGTCACTGCCAAGAAGAAGATCAATGGCATCTTTGAGCAGCTGGGGGCCTATATCCAGGAGAGTGCCACCTTCCTCGAGGGTGAGAGACAGGCAGCCTGCTCAGCCAGGCCCACTCCTGTTGGTTTCTGTATTTAAGTGGCAGGATTTGGGGGCAGGGAGGTACAGCCCTGCTCTGGGGAGCTCGTGCCCCGATGGGCTGTACCTTCAGCAGCGCTCTGCTTTTGGAATCCTATGGACTTGGGCTCTGGGGAGATTGGACCAGGAAGACTAGGGACCTGTCTTTGAAGAATTTGACATACTCTGTTCCATTTAATCACAAGGGGTAGGTGAATCGTCCCCTCATCTAAGAGACAAGCAGATTGAGGTTTTGAGAGTTGTTTAACACTTTGTAAGTAACACAGCGGGCTTTCCCAGGTCTCTGACTCCAAAGCCCAGGTGTTCTCCTTGGTCCAGTCTGCCATCAGTACTGAGTGCTGGCTGGGTGTTGGCTGTTCCTGACCAGGGTGTCCTTTCTCTGATATTTTTAGACAGCAGGACTATGAATAAGAAACTTGTGTCACCAGCACCTTTTCCTCTAGTTACTAATTTGAGCCCAGCCTCTAATCCCTGCTCTAGCAGCAGAGGAGGACTGGTTCCCAGGGCCCCACTCGGTCTAGGCACCACCTCCAGCCACTGGCTTCTCAGGCTCCCTCTAGAAGATACACCTTGGCTCTAGGTCCTGGGATTGTCAGTGAAGACCCAGTAGCTGAGTCTTATCTGCCCTTGGTTTCCTCGTTTGTGAAAAAAGGGCTCAAGTGAGACCAAGAGTTTCTAAATTCCAGCCTGCAGAACCCTAGAAATTCAGTGGAAATGCCCCAGGGACACTTCATTCTCTGCTTTCCACTGGAGTGGCTTGGTTTCTGGTTGGTTTACATGCCAGGCTGTCACTTAAGGCTCCCTTTAAAGAAAGGGAATGGGTCCACTACTATGATCTGAATGTTTGTCCTCCCATGATCACATGTTAGAACCCTAAGGCCCAACGTGATGGTGTTAGAAGGTGCGGCTTTTGGGAAGGGATTGGGTCATGAGGGTGAAGCCCTCATGAATGAGATCAGTGCTCTTATAAAAGAGACCCTACAAAGCTCCCTTGCCTGCTTTGGCCACGTGAGGATACGACAGGAAGTCTGCCCGCACCTGACCAGGTTAGCTCCCTGAGCTGAGACCTTCCAGCCACCAGAACTGTGGGCAACACATTTTATTATGTATAAGCCACCCAGTCATGGTATTTTGTTATAGGAGTCTGAACAGACTAAGCATGGACTGTTTATACCCTGCCCTTAATGTGGTGCTTGATGCAAGAGAAGGTATTCACAAATTTAACATAATTTATTAAATTTAAGTTTTTGAATTTCCAAGTTAGAATCTTGATGGTTGAAAATACTCCAGTTCACCACCTGTTCTTTTAGCAGTGGTTCTGGGGTGCCTGGCACTGTGCATGCAGAGATGGGGCACACCAGGCTGCTGTCCCCCTAGAGCCCAGACTAACCCCCTGTGGTGCTCTGACTCACTCACTCAGATGGTTCTGTGGATGAACAAGTGCTTCATAACGAAGGTGTTTATGTGATGGCATCCAGAGCAGGTGCTTTGATTTCTTTTTGTGAAAATATGAGGCCTCTCCAATTGGCAGCCTGGAAGGGAAGGAGCCAGAGTGATCCTGAGATGTATTTGGGATTGTCTTGGCTAGGGGAGGGGATGACTGCTGCTTTGGGATTGTTCTGTAAAGGACAGGTGATGAGCTTGTGGGCCTCCTGGCTGTTTCTTTTAAATATGGTCACAGGCTTGCAAGCCAGCTTCCTCTGAGGCGCATTCCAAAGGCCACACCCATGTGCCCACATAAGGGAGGAATGTCGATGGTTCTGAGGAGGGGTGACCAGTGGCCATGGGGAGGCCTTGTTCTTTGGTTACTTCCTTTTGTGGAACCAGATGGTGCAACTCACTGGGCATCTCTGAAAAGCACTTGTCATGCTCCGGATGCTGTGGGAGTGTTCTCAGGGCTGGGGCCTGTCAGCCCAGTGGTTTGCAAGTGTCTTATTCTGTTTGGGCAGCTGTAACAGAAATACCATAGACTGGGTGGCTTATAAACAACAAAAATTATTTCTAACAGTTTGGGAAGCTGGGAAGCCCAGGATGAAGGCACCGGCTGACTTGGTGTCTGGCGAGGGCTGGTGTCCTGGACTGTTGTCTTGTCTCTGTAACAGCACGTGTAACCACATGGCAGAAGGGGCTCGCTAGTTCTCTGGGCCTCTTTTCTAAGGGCACTAATCCCTGTCACGAGGGCTCCACCTCTGTACACAGCTGACCCTTGAAAAACACAAGTTTGAACTGCTTGGACCCACTTATATGAGGATTTTTTCAGTAGCAAACACTACGGTAGTACCCACGATCCGTGGTTGGTTGAATCCACAGATGTGGAACTGTGCATACAGAGGGCTGACCAAATTACGCCCTGATTTTTGGCTGTGCGGAGGGTCGGCGCTCCTAACCCTCGCGTTGTTCAAAAGTCAACTGTACCATCACACCATATACCGTCACGAGGGGCCACATAAACTTTTAGTCCATTTCAGCAAGAGTGTGCTGAGGGGCAAATGCTGGGCTCCCGCCCAGCCAGCTGACGCACCTTCCTGGTGCAGTACTAGATGGGATGCGGGCGAGATCTTGCTCACTTGCTCCTATTTGTCGTGATTTGTTATCCATCTGCATGTCAGGGGCATTGGGAAAAAGCAGTGCAGTGTTCCCAGTATCCGTTCACTGCTGGGTGCTGGTTGCTGGGATCAGGCAGCTCGGCCCTCACGTGGTCGGTGATTTGGACAGGTGAGCTAGACAGTTACACTGGGGTGCGATACGGACTAAGGTGGGAGGGAGTACATGGTGCTGTGGGTGCACAAACAAGGGGGTCTGATTCAGGTGAGGGGGGTCAGGGTAGGCTTCCTGGGCGCTGTGCAGGCTAAGTGGGACTGAGCCAGAGCACCCCAAGGTGGTGCATTAGTTCTTCAGAGTGAAAGGGTGTGTATGTTGGGGTAGGGGGAGCACTGAGCAAAGCCCAGAGCGGTGGCGAGTGTGGGGAGGTGGTGGGGCGGAGTGTGAGGCAGAGGATGTCTGGTGAGCAGGGCCGGATCAACAGGCCCTCGTGAAGGTGCACAGGTACCTGGTCCCAGTCCTGGCTCTGCTATCTACTAACTCTGATCGGTACGTGATGTGGATTCAATGAGACCGTGTTTGAAAAATGATCAGAACAGTGACTGGCATATAGTGAGAACTTGGTGAGTGTATGTTTAGTAAAAAACATGCAAGTAAATGATGGCGATTAACATTCAAGTGTTCATCATGTACCAGCCCCCATTCTTAGGACTTTTTGTGTTTTAATTCACTGAATCCGTTCAGTAATCACAGGAAGTAGGTACAATCGTCATCTCTGTTTTAAGGGCAAGGAAACTAAAACTCAGAAAGGTTCATTTGCCTGAGGTCACAAAGTTAGGAAGAGATTAAAAACCAGCACTTCCATGCACTGGAAGCCAGGCAGCCTTGCATAGCCGTGTTCTTAACTGCTACGCTACGGCCCCACGGTAGGGAATCGGGACCTGCAGCCCGGCGGTAGCAGGGAGCTGTGGTGCTGGACTCTGTCCCTTCCAGACTTGTAACTGTGGAACTCTGGCCACGTGACGAGCTATTTTCAATCTCCACCTCCAGACACCTACAGGAACGCGGAACTGGACCCTGTTACAACAGAAGAACAGGTTCTGGATGTCAAAGGTTACCTATCCAAAGTGAGGGGCATCAGCGAGGTGCTGGCCCGCAGGCACATGAAAGTGGCTTTTTTTGGCCGGTGAGTCTTGAAGTCCTCGTGCTTCTTTGCTTCCTAGCGAGGAGGGAGGGAGGGAGGGAGACCGGTGCTTTGTGGAGGATCGAGTCTGAGGGCCCCAAGGCAGGGAAGCAGCTGGCATGCCTCAGAGTTCAATACGCTCCGTGTTTTTTAATTATGGTAAAATACACATAACAACATTGTGAACTGACTGTAACTCAATAAAAAAAAAACACGCATAACATAAAATTTACCATCATAACCATTCTTAAGTGTATAGTTCATTTCTGTTAAACACATTCACATTGTCCTGCAGCCATCACCACCATCCATCTCCAGAGCTTCTTCCCCTAACAAAACTGACACTCTTGTACTCATTAAATAACAGCTCCCATTCCCTTCTCCCCAACTCCCTGTAACCACCGTTCTACTTTCTGTCTCTATGAATATGGCTAGGAACCTCATAGAAGTGAAATCATACAATATTTGTCTTTTTGTGGCTGGCTCATTTCACTTAGCATAATGTCCTCTAGGTCATCCATGTTGTAGCGGGTATCAGAACCCCCTTCCTTTTTAAGGCTGAATAATGTTCCATTGTGTGTATACCTCACATCTTGTTTATCCATTCATCCGTGATGGGCACTTGTTGCTTCCACTTTTTGGCTATTGTGAATAATGCTGCTGTGAATGTAGGTGTACGAGTATGTGCTTGAGACCCTCTCTCAGTTCTTTGGGTTTATACCCAGAAGTGGAATGGGTAGATCATATTATCTTTCTATTTTTAATTTTTTGAGAAACTATGCACCATTTTGTTTTCCATAGTGACTGCACCATTTTAATTCCCACCAGCAGTGCACAAGGGTCCCAGTTTCTGCACATCCTCCCAAGACTTGTTTTGTGTGTTTTTGGTAGTAGCCATCTTAGTGGGGGTGAGGTGGTATCTCTTACAGATTTGATTTACGTTTCCCTAATGATCAGTGATGTTGAGCGTCTTTTCTTGTGCTTCTTGGCCATTTGTTTATCTTCTTCGGAGAAGCATCTATTTAGGTCCTTTGCCCACTTTTAAATTGGGTTTTTTTGTTTTTGAGTTGTAGGAGTTCTTTATATATTCTGGGGTTTAGTCTCTTATCAATAAGATATACGATTTGTAAATGTGTCTCCCATTCTTTAGGTTGCCTTTTCACTCTGTTGACTCTGTCCTGTGATGCACAGAAGTTTTTTTATTTTGATCTAGTCCAATTTATTTATGCTTTTATTGTCTACTTTTGGTGTCATATCCAAGAAATTTCCAAATCCAGTGTCATGAGCCTTTCCCCCTATGTTTTCTTCTAAGTGTTTTATACTTTTAGGCCTCGGATCTCCCTGTTACACTTTGAGGTCTAGTTGGTACCTCTGGAATGTTTGCCACAGCACCAAGAAATTCTCCAGTTTTCAGTGAACACTACTGGCCTAAAAAGTGAACTCAGTTCTGACACCTTCTCCCGGGAGGTGGCAGCAGACCCTACAGGTTCAGAGCTCCGTCCCACAGGATGTCCCCCACTTCTGATGCCACTCGGAAGCCTGTGCTTCTGATCAGTTGGCTATAAATCAGAAGTTCCCACGACCTCCTCCTTGAGTTTAATCTGCTAGAACAGCTCACAAAGCTCCGAGAAACACTTACTTACATTTGCTGGTTTGCTATAAAGGAGACTGTAGAGGACACAGATGAAGAGGTGCACAGGGCGAGGTCTGGGAAGACCCTGAGCACAGGGAGCTGGGGCACATCGCCTCCGGCTTCATCCACCCCGATCTCATTGTTCAAGAGTTTTTATGGAGCTTAATGCACTAGCCCTCTCCTTCCTTTTCCCAGAGGTCGTGGGTGGGACTGGAAGCCCCAAACATCTAATCACTTGGTCTTTCTGGTGACCAGCCCATCTTGAGACTGTCTGGGGGCCCCACCCTGAGTCACCTCATTAGCATAAACAGGTCTGCTCAAAAGGGGCTCCTTGTGCGTCACTAAAGACACTCCTGTCACTCAGGAAATTCCAGGGGTTTTAAGAGCTCTGTGCCAGGAACTGGGGACAAATCCCAAATATATTTCTTATCACACCACAGCACCTTTTAAAAAAAAGCTGAAGTCCAATATGGGGGGAAGAAAAAAGGCACGCATTCAGATTGGATGCTGTACACACAGTGATAGCTTGAGGAATAGGCACTCTGCCGTGTGCCCTGCCCCCGATGACCCGTGACCTAAGAGGTGGCCCGCAGCCCTCTGGGCTGCCATTTTTCATCCTGACTTCAGAGGTGTGGCCCTCACTGCCGTGAGCTGGAGCCTGTGAGTCCGCAGAGTAGAGCTGTTTTCAAGAACCAGGATGTAGAAAAGGGGCGTGATAGGCAGGGGTGCTCCAGTAATCTGCCCCCGCAGGCAGTTATCAGCTGGGACTGCTGGGGTGGGGCTTCAGTTTGGGAAGAGCATGATGGGAGGAGAGCAGCACAACAGGCCTCTTGTAGGGAACCGGGGACTCTGGGGTCACTCAGCTGAGGTCGCTTAGACTGAGGAGGACACCCTGAGGGTGAGTCAGCGGTTTCAGGTGGAAGAGGAGAGGGTTATCCTTTGGAGACGGACAGGTGGTCTCCATAGTGACTCTGAGCACCTCACGGTGGGTGGCAGGCTCACTCGAGGGCAGGTAGTGTCTGCGTGCTGGCGCCGCGTTGCCTGAGCCTCTTGAGGGTTGGTTTGCCGTGATGAACCAGGGGCGCGTCCCAGGCACCAGCCAGAGGTGTTATCCATCCATTTTTGTAAACACAGCACCCATTCTGCCTGTCTGGGCACTAGTGTCACTACAGAGAGCGAGACTTGGGACTTCCAGGCTGGCAGCTTCTTTGTGACAGCCTGAAACAGAGATCTTGATAGCTTCCCTGACAGCCAGGACTTCCTCGTAGGACGAGCAACGGGAAGAGCACCGTGATCAACGCGATGCTCTGGGACAAAGTGCTGCCCTCCGGGATCGGCCACACCACCAACTGCTTCCTGCGGGTGGAGGGCACAGACGGCCACGAGGCCTTCCTCCTCACCGAGGGCTCCGAGGAGAAGAGGAGCGTCAAGGTGAGGGGGCGGCCGTGGGGACTGCTAGCTCCGCTTTCAGCCCTGGGCACCCGGCAGGCTGAGCCGGGCTTACACCAGCGTGCCTGTTGTGACAGGACTAGCGACACCTCTAAGCAGAGGGCAGTGTCCAGGGGGGTGGAGTGTGGGAAGCCCTGTCCTAGCCTGGCTGTTTGGGAGGCTCGAGCGCTTCAGGGAGGGTGTGAAGCTTGGAGCCCTGGGAATCAGGATTCGCACTCCTTGTGAATTGCTAGACAGCACATCTGACTTTTCCCTTTGCAGTGAAGATGTATGTGCATTGTCCTTTTCTGGGGTGTTGCCAGAGAACAGCCTGCATTTTCTCTGTGATTCTGACACATCAGCTAGGGGCTTGCATGTTTTCATTTGGCCGAGAGCCAGCTGTGTTCTTGATTGGGGACATGTGCTGATTTTGGTTCATAAAGAATTAATTCATGCAGAAAAACCTCAGCTTTAGGACAGCATCCAAAAAAGAAACTTAAAAGAGGAGCGGAGAACAGTTGGTTCTTATTGGAAACTTCCAGCTCTTGACTTTTTATGTGTGAAATGAAAGAAAAAGGGGTAGCAGATTGGGCAGTGGTTTCAGGCCACTGTGTTGTGGCCGGTGGCGCCAGAAATCTGCAACCTGGAGGCTCTCCCTCAGCTCTGATCTTTCTTTCCCTTCTCCCCCACCAGACTGTGAACCAGCTGGCCCACGCCCTTCACCAGGACGAACAGCTGCATGCCGGCAGCCTGGTGAGTGTGATGTGGCCCAACTCCAAGTGCCCGCTTCTCAAGGATGACCTCGTGCTGATGGACAGGTAAGAGGGAAGGTGCCTCCCTCAGAGGTGCAAACTGGGAGAGCACCAGGTTTCCATTCCTGGATCTGCAGGCCAGGGTCCCCCCAGGTCCTGTTGTTGCTCTGCTTAAGTATATTGCCTTTCAAACTGGCTCAACCAAATCCTGCCTCTTGGATTTCCCCCAGGGTCTGGTTGCTGTATCCCTTGGGAGACATCAGGGCCCTGAAGATGTCCCAGTGGTGGTCTGGGAAGAGGGATAGGAGGGATGCTCACAAGTTGGGAAGCTTCTCAGACTCAACCCAGTTGTTTATTGTGGGGGATGTGGAGCTTGCCGTGGCGAGGTCCACGTTGTATTTTACTTTGCTCGAAGGAACGCTTTGCTTCTGCTTTGTGGATAGGTTATCATTACACCAAGAAACGTAGTACTAGAGTGCTTACTGGACTCGTATAAATACACGACTTCACCTTAATTTGTAATCCCCAACCTGAAATTCGTATCATTAGGTTTTTATAAAAGGGATAGATACACGTGGCAAAAACACAGTTTCAGACAATCTGCGAGGTTATGAGATGAAAAGTAAAAATCCCTGTAATAAGAGCCAGACCCGACTTCTCTCCACTCTGTAGCACTCTCCTTTGCCTGACTGCCTCAGGTCTGTTCAGAGCAGGAGGTATAGAGCCTGCAGTCTGTGTGCCTGATGAGGGTTTGCCCCTGTCACCTCTAGCCCTGGCATTGATGTCACGACAGAGCTGGACAGCTGGATTGACAAGTTTTGCCTGGATGCTGATGTGTTTGTGCTTGTGGCCAACTCGGAGTCCACCCTGATGCAGACGGTAGCTACTCCTCTGTCTTCTCCCACGTCCTGGGAACCCAGCCGAGTAGGAGGGCTGGCAGGGCCTTGGCTGTTACAAGTCCTCCCCCACTGAGGTCTTCTCTTTGCATCCAGGAAAAGCAGTTCTTCCACAAGGTGAGCGAGCGCCTGTCCCGCCCGAACATCTTCATCCTGAACAACCGCTGGGACGCGTCCGCCTCGGAGCCCGAGTACATGGAGGAGGTGGGCGCCGCTTTCCTCAGCCGTGTGGGGAGTGCCACCCCCTGTGTCTGCCCAGAGCCTCTGTGCTCTCCCAGTCTGCATCCCTGACTGAATCTCATCAGCAGAGATGTCCCAGGTGTTCCCTGGGGTTGCTGTGGTGGCTTCTGATGGCTTTAAAACTACTCCCTCACTTCTCCCATTCACTTTCCCGGACCCCTCTGCTCTTGAAAAGGCTTTCATCCCGGTCTGAGAAGCATTCCCCGACTTTAGCGGTACCCTTGCTTGAGGCCAGTGCCCTCTTTAGTTCACAAAGAATTAATCATTATAGAACAGGCTTAGCTTTAGAAAGACCTCCAGGAAAGAAGCTGAAAAGAGAAGGGAGGAGTAATTGGTTCTTACTGACAACTCAGAGTGGATGAAATCTGTTAACCTAGAGAAAAGCACCTAGCACGTGGCAAGTGTCCACGAGAGGCTGTCATCACTTCTAAGTCCCAGCAGTAGAACCCCGGGGCTTCAGAGCTAGAAGGGCGCCCACTCATCTTATAAACGAGCCCTGGGAGGACTCGGTAGGTCAGTATAGAGTCCGGGTTTGGGTTTCTTGACACCCAGGTTCCCACCCTTCTGGGCCACCAAAGTGAGACACTGTGTCAGCTCTGATGAGGCAGTCTGGGGCGTGTGTAAGCATTTCTGCTTGTTTATTGCATGTCTTTGGCAGGTTGTGCCCCAAGGATCCCCCATGACATGGGTTCTGGGGAGCCTGGTCGCTGGAGGACAGGCAGATGGTGGGAGATGGTTGCTGCGTGTGTTTGTGCCTTCTGAGTCTGAGCTGTGTGACTAGATCACCTGGTTTTTTTTAAAAGAGGCTGTTGGGGCTGTGGGCTCCATCAGGAGGGACCGCCTGCACCCCCCCAGGTCACACACATCCGTCTCCTTGGGCCCCAGGTGCGGCGGCAGCACATGGAGCGCTGTACCAGCTTCCTGGTGGACGAGCTGGGTGTGGTGGACCGCGGCCAGGCCGGAGACCGCATTTTCTTTGTGTCTGCCAAGGAGGTGCTCAACGCCAGGATCCAGAAGGCCCAGGGCATGCCCGAAGGAGGTGACAATGGAAGAGCTGCTTGCTTTTCCCTGCTGTTTGAGACATTTGGTCGCGCGCTAAGTCAGTTGTTGGGAACAGTTCTGAAATGAGGCGGTGAGAAGAGCCGCGGGCGAGAAGCCCCCTGCTCCCCAGCCAGCGCTCAGCCCGGTTCCCTTGGGGAGGTTTCACTGCTTTCCCCACCTGCCAAGTAGTTTCTGGACTAACGTGGTGCAATTCTCCTAGGGGGCGCTCTTGCAGAAGGCTTTCAAGTGAGGATGTTTGAATTTCAGAATTTTGAGAGGAGATTTGAGGTGAGCATGAGCCTTTGATTCTGGTATCTGGCGATTCTGTGCCTCCCCAGCTCTCACTGGCCACGTCCCTGGCAGTGAATGCCCGAGCCTGGCCTTTGGCTGGTGGCCTCTGCCTCCCTCACCGTTTCTTGTTTGTTCCAGGAGTGCATCTCCCAGTCTGCAGTGAAGACCAAGTTTGAGCAGCACACAGTCCGGGCCAAGCAGATCGCGGAGGCAGTCCGCCTCATCATGGACTCTCTGCACGTCGCGGCGCAGGAGCAGCGGTAAGAGCCCAGGCGGAGGGGTGCGTGGTAGCAGTCACCTTGCCCCACCTGGGGACATCCCTAGGGCCAGAGCCCGACCGGCAGAGCCAAGTCTCTGGGTTCCCACCAAGCCATGTTAGGGCCACATGGAGTAGCTGGGTGAGGAAGCTGTGGGTCTGTCCGTCCCACCCTGGCCTGTACGGGGAGGTTCCCCACAAGCCTGTGCTGGTGGCCTTGGGGCAATGCTGCGCTGAGCACCATGCCTATTCTCAGAGCCTGGAGCAGAACACGTTTTCTTAAAAATACCTTTTTTTTTTTTTGGAGAAATTAAAATACAGGGAAGTACAGAAAATAATACGTCTTGCTTCCATCACACAGAATTGACAATATTTGCTTTATATTATTTTTAAGTTAAAACACAGAAAAAGATGTTGAATGCCCTTCGATTCTTCAGCCCCCATCCCAGTGTCCCTCTGCCCACTCCTCAGAGACAACCTTGGTCGTGAATTTGATGTGTAGTCCTATCATCCATTTAAAAAGTACTGTTTCTGTAAATCCTAAAGAATTGCTCCGCACACACTTTAAACGTCCATATACAGTATCACGCTGCACCTGGCTTCTCTTTCCACTCGGCCCTGTTTTTGCCCTTTGTCCTTGTTGGTGCCCGTAGCTGGGGTTTCTGACTATTAGCTGCTATAAAGCAGTCTGCCATGAATATACCTCATTTTCCCATAGGTGGATTTTTAGATTTCATTACTATTGCAAACCCTGCTGCAGTGGATGCCAGTTTGTGCGTCCCCTTGCACATGCCTGCAGGAGTTTCTCTAGCGCTAATTCCTGGAGTTAGAGCTGTTTTATCTTAGAGTATTGGCATTTTCAGTTTCACCCAATCTTTGCTGCTTTCTGAAACATCTGAACCCATTCACAGTCTCACCAGCAGTGTATGCTGGAACTCCCATTTCCTTGACCCTCACCAGTACGTCAGACTGGGAGATCTTTTCGAGGCTTCCGGGTGACATAGTACCTCTTTTTTTCTTTTTCTTGATTATTACTAAGGTTGAGCTTTTTTTTTTTCTTTTTAATTAATTGGTAGAACTTGTTTTAACCCCTTGAAAGCACCCTCCCCCCATCCGTCACCACCACATCTCCCAAATTGGAAGACTTAAGAGTGAGTGGTCGGCACCGTCTCTCCCTCATACCTGGGAAGGGGAGGAGCACGCTTCCGGGCCTGCGCATGAAACTGCCACGGCCCCACTGACCTCACCGTGGCCCGGACCACGGCCGGGGACCCATGCAGGCCTCCTGGCACCTGTCTCGCTCCTCTGCTTCGTTGAGTGGGGATCTGTGTCTTGTAACCAGTGCTCGCTCTTCCAGGGTTTACTGCCTGGAAACACGTGAAGAGCGGCAGGAGAGGCTGAGATTTATTGACAAACAGCTTGAGCTTTTGGCGCAAGACTACAAACTGCGAATTAAGCAGATTACAGAGGAAGTTGAAAGGCAGGTGAGAAATGGGAGGAAGCATGTTAGGGAGACTGGGACTTTGAATAGGGTCTGGGCGCTAGAAAAGTGAAAACACAGACATCTTCCTCTTCGGGGGCTTCTCAGCCTTAATTGGTGCCTCCCTGCGTTTGTTGTTCCATCTTATGACCCTGGGCAGGTTGCCCTCCTCTGGGCCTCCTCCTCCATTTCTTAGATGAGTGCATGGTCAGTCAATCTTTAACATCCCTTCTAGCTCCATATACCGGCTGAGGGCACTGCTGGTTTGAGGGGAAGGATGTCCAGTCTGTTAGAGTCCGTCTGGTACTGAGAACTGGGCCCTGTTCTTCTTGATGCATCGCAGCACACTTCCTCCTGCTGTAGGTGTCCACCGCGATGGCCGAGGAGATCCGGCGCCTGTCTGTGCTGGTGGACGAGTACCAGATGGACTTCCACCCCTCTCCAGTGGTCCTCAAGGTTTATAAGAATGTGAGTCACTAAGTGGCAGGTGCACTGGGCAAGGGCCCCCCTTAATTTCTTCCGGCTACTGGAATTCAGGATTCAGCCCCTTCTGGTCTGAATCATGGCCCCTCAGCCTGGGAGATGAACGCCAGGCTCACTCAGCCTTCTACCATCACCTGGTGGGCCGGGGCTGACCAGGTCCCTGGGCTCCCTAGAAAGAGCCCCTGGCGGAGGCTGCTGCTTCCTTTAACCTCTCTCTTCTGGTGCAGGAACTGCACCGCCACATAGAGGAAGGACTGGGCCGAAATATGTCTGACCGCTGCTCCACGGTCATCACCAGCTCCCTGCAAACCATGCAGCAGGAGATGATAGGTCAGTGCTGCAGGGGCCCCGGATACAGTTTCAGGCCAGGATACAGAAATAATGACCTTTCCTTATCTGTCACCTTTTACGATGAGTCAACGTGATACCTTCAGATTCTGGGTGCATGTCATGAGTTCACACCGCACAGAGACTCGGGGAGCCACTTTGTGTCACACATGGGACTGTCACAGGCTGAGAGTTTGGCCTGCTCTTTAAATCCACACGTTAGCAGATAGGGAGCCTCAGTCAGCACACCCCAGGGAGAGCTGGCCTCCCCCGTGAGGCGCTCCCCGCCCCAGAGGCCCACGCGTCCAGGCCTGGTTTCTGGGCAGCGCCGTCGTCACCATTGGCAGGGGCAGGCGCGGCCCGCGCGCTGAGGCCAGGCGCCGGCGTGGCCCAGGGCAGAGCTGAGGTGCTTTCTTCCCGTTTCTATTCCCAACAGACGGCTTGAAACCCCTCCTGCCTGCGTCTGTGCGGAGTCAGATGGACGTGCTGGTCCCTCGGCAGTGCTTCTCCCTCAGCTACGACCTGAACTGTGACAAGCTGTGTGCCGACTTCCAGGAGGACATCGAGTTTCATTTTTCTCTCGGGTGGACCATGCTGGTGAACAGGTTCCTGGGTCCCAAGAACAGCCGCCGGGCCTTGATGGGCTACAACGACCAGGCAAGCAAAGCCCTTCACCCTTGAGCATCGGGGAGGTCGATCTGTGTTCTGCCTCTGGACACGTGACCATTCTGAGGTCACAGCCCTCACGTGTATGCCACCACACAGCACACACGGTCCAGGTTCTGCCAGAAATCAACCTAGCTTTACCTTGAGCACTAATATGGGTGAAATTACAAATGCAAGCTCTTTTTTCTATTACACGTTAAAGTAAGTATGTGACTATTAAACACAGATGCCGTATCTATCCACGTACCAGCGTTTTAGCACTTAGATTTTAAACCACCCATCTCTGCACCACTGGAGTAATTGCCTGTACTGCTCTTGCTGCACATCCCACGTTTGGGGAACTGTGCTGAAGTGTCCCAGGGTGGCCGCTGCTCACATTCTGTGGTTCCCACAGTGCTCACCTTTGGGGTGGCAGGTCTGTTAGGAAGCTTAAATCCTTTGCTACATGTGAAGCTCATTTTCCTTTCGGAAATTAAAGAGCCACTCTCCATGTCCCTGTTCTGGACTCCTAGCCTGGAGGGCCACTGAAGGTCCCGTGGAGTAAGAGACTTGGCCACGTTCTTCTTACTCCTCTCCTCATTTCTCTGTGCAGGTGCAGCGGCCCATGCCCCTGACCCCAGCCAACCCCAGCATGCCCCCACTGCCCCAGGGCTCCCTCACCCAGGAGGAGCTCATGGTTTCCATGGTCACCGGCCTGGCCTCCCTGACGTCCAGGACCTCCATGGGCATTCTCGTTGTTGGAGGAGTGGTCAGTGACAAGCCCTGCTCAGGCAGGGTGGGGCAGGGTGGGGCAGGCGGGTGGGGCCCAAGGGGCACAGTCTGGGGTGGAGGGGTCCCCGCATCAGCCCAGCACTTCACATCCACGGCCACCTCTCACTTTGCTCTCAGGAACTGTGCAGCTTTATCCCTTTAACATCACATATATCGACTTACTAAGTCTCACTCAGCTAACGTGACAGAGCACCGTTCCCGTTTTCCAGAAGCAGAAAATCCGTGATTGGCTTGCCAAGGACACATAGCTAGGATTTGAACTCTGGCCCCATCTGACTCCAGGGCCACGTTCATTCCCCTGTAGGTCCAGGACTACACGATAGATAGGGAAGTGACAATAGAAAGTGACAACCCTGGGTTCTAGAGAGATGGGTATGACCAGGAGTTTTGCATTTGTAGGTGAGGAGACTGAGCTACACTTACAAGGGCTTAAGACAAAAAAGAGGCCAGGCTGGGCCTCGAACCCTTGTCTCTCCATCTGCGGTTTTATTGCCCTTTCCTTTCTGCCCCAAGGACTGAGATCACTGCCTTCTTGGTAACTGAGCTACTCCCCACATCCTGACGCAGGACACACTGCAACCAGTGTAATTTATGGCTTGCATTTTCTTGGTGATGCTGTAGAGCGGTGGCAGAATGTGATGGTAACAGAACTGCCAGGAGTTGCGCTCTCAGCGTGCTGAGACAAGGCCCCTCCCTCCTGGTCTGCAGCTGGTACATGCTCTGGTTCCTTTCTCACAGACGGTGACCTGGCAGAGAATTAGCTGAGACTCTGACACTGATGGTTGTGTAACTCTTTTATAATCAGTGTCTGATTTTACCCAAACAGCCCTGGGAATTGGGTGGAGGCCATTATTCCTATTTTAAGAGGAAACAGGTGTAAACAAACTTGCTCATGATCCCACAGTTAGGATGGCAGGCAGCCCTAGAGCCTCGGTTTCTGGCTCCAAGTCCAGTGCTCTCTGACTGTAACTACACTACTTTGAACTAAAGGATTACCAACCAGACCGAAAGAAGCCATCCACTGAGGAACAGTGTGCAGAAATCTTATTGTCAGTGTCACCGGAATGGAGTGTCACTTCAGAATACTCTAGCATTTATCATTAAGGTTTCTGCTGGCCCAGATCTGTGCTTCTGGTCCTAACAACCACAGAGGTGGCCCCACCCCACAAGTCACATTGTGGGGCCCACACTGTTTCTCTCATTTCCAAACTCCTGCCCTTCTGGCCTCAGTGGGACCAAAGAAGACATTGACAGTTCTGAGTCGAAACACAAAGACTCTTTGACTGAGACTCATGGGAAAGTCCAGGCAGCTCGTGGTAAAGTCCTGGCAGCCAGAGGCCGAGGGGATGGGTGGCTGGACAGCCGAGAGGCTGCGCTGGCTGACCACTGTGCCTCTGCAGGTGTGGAAGGCCGTGGGCTGGCGCCTTATCGCCCTCTCCTTTGGCCTCTATGGCCTCCTCTACGTCTATGAGCGTCTTACCTGGACCACCAAGGCCAAGGAGAGGGCCTTCAAGCGCCAGTTTGTAGAGTACGCCAGCGAGAAGCTGCAGCTCGTCATCAGCTACACCGGCTCCAACTGCAGCCACCAGGTCCAGCAGTGAGTGCCCCTTCGGCCCCTGGGGCCAGTGCCACCTCCCGTGCTTCAGGACTTCCTCTCGGTCCCCTTCTAACTTGGCTGGGAAGCCACTGGGTCCTGAACCTTGTCTGGTTCCTGCCTTCAGCTGTGCAGGGCCAGCTTGCAGGCCAGGGATGGGAGAGGAGTCTCTCCAGGGACACCTTACATCCTGGGCTGGGGCCACACAGGCCTCTGGTCCCCCCAGGAAGGAAGACATGGGAAGACGAGGGGTGTTACTTGTAACGTTTTTTCAAAAGTTGCCTTAAAGGGCTTGGGTTGTGGATGTCGCTGTGATGTTCTAAGCCACAGCTCATTCTTCATGGCGCATCTTAGGTCATGTGGTAATAGATCGCTTGATCTCAGTGGTAGGGGATGAAGGTGCCAGCTGCCTGCCTTCTAGTGCTATGTGGCAGGCCCTCTGCTAGGCATCTTGCACCTGATTTTTCATTTTCTCCCCAAACCCTTTGAGGTAGATGTTTTTATCAGCATTTTCTTTTTCAAAATGAGGAACTTGAGATCAGGAGAGGAGTCTTGTGTCCCCTGCTACTCGGCTGATCAGCAGCAGAGCTGGCATCTGAATCCTGGGCTGCGGTGCCCAAGCCGGGGCCTCCTGCTCTGTGCTCCTGGTTCTTACACTGTGGTGATGCCAGCGTGTGTGGTGGTTGTGACGCCCACGGTCTCAGCAGGGGTGGCGAGGGGATTCTGCCAAGCCAGGACTGGCGCAGGGCAGAGCTGGCAGTAGGTGACAGATGGGATTGACCACCAGCAGCGTTCTCTGCAACCCCACATGGCCTGGTCGATCCTCACTCTCCCCTCCTTAGGGAACTGTCTGGGACCTTTGCTCATCTGTGCCAGCAAGTTGATGTTACCCGGGAGAACCTGGAGCAAGAAATTGCCGCCATGAACAAGAAAATCGAGGTTCTTGATTCACTTCAGAGCAAAGCCAAACTGCTCAGGTGAGACTGGCCATTGTGGCATCACAGGAAGCCCAGGCCCGTGAGATTACAGCTCACAGGCACCGTCTCCGTAACTGCGGCGACTCAGGCACTTGACGTGCCCTGTCCTACTCAGTCTTCAGTGTCCCTTCAGGGTCACATCATCACCTTCATTTTATAAATAGGAAAATTGAGGCCTCCAGAGGTGAAGAAACTTAGCTGTGGTCCAACAGTACAGGGTCAGGCCAGCAGTAGGAGAGTCTGGATGTGCTGGGCCTCGGCACCCTCGGACACTCTACACGTTGATTGTCTCCAGAGTGGCTGGGACACTGGGCTAGACCCGCCCCTCATTTTCTGCCATTTCTCTGCAAGCCCCAGGAAGGTGGCTTATCAGCATCTGTTCCCACGGGGAAGCTGGCCAGGCAGCCAGTGATCGGGACCCAGGTCTGCATAGGGTCTCCGTTAAAGGCAGGGCTTCCACCGGCAGTTTGTGGAGAAAGGGTGGGTGTGAGGAGTCAGGAGGCCTGGCTTCTGGTCCTGACACTCGGGTTCACGCAAATCACTGAGCTGTCCTGTGTCTTCTTTTCTGTACAGTGGAGTCAGATTCATGACACAGCCACAGAGCTGAACGTAAAAGTGCTCTGCAGGAGTCCTCGGCCCACTCGGCCCGAGATAACATCAGCCCTTGGGACCCTGTGCTTCCTGCCCCCACCCCCACCCCTGCCGTCAGCGCCGAGGGCAGCTGAGCGGAGGGCTTTGGCGGGCCTTCCCCTCCCCGCCCACCACCCGGGAAAGCTGTTTTCTAGGGACACACGGCTCACCCCCTGGGAAATCTCTCGGGGTGGGTGTCCCTGCTGCCGTCACATGCAGGGACGCAGTGAACCTGGGACCCCTTGCTGACAGGCAGGAAAACTATGCTCCCATCAGTTCAGGGACTTGCCTGTGGTCCTGGGGTGAAGCAAACACTGGGCTTGACGGGCAGAAAAGCGTGACTTTTGTTTCCACCGCTGATTAACGGCGCTGTGGTAGGAAGTTATTTTCTCTTGGGCCTCATTTTCTTCTGGGAAGTAGAAGTTATCAGAGGATTAAATGAGTAAGTGAGTCTGCGTGCAGCGCCTGACAGGTAACGCTGGTACCCGTTAGCAGCTATCACTGCTACAAAACGACCGTTTCTCCGCAGGAATAAAGCCGGCTGGTTGGACAGCGAGCTCAACATGTTCACGCACCAGTACCTGCAGCCCAGCAGATAGTGGGCAGCCCGGAGCCGGAGCCTGCACGGGACGGGGCCTTCCCGCAGGGCCCGCACGGCTCCTGTCCGTTGCCGCCACCGTGAGAGTGAAAGCACCCGCTGTCTCCCACCGTTTTGAGCCCTTAAACGCTAGTTATTTCCCCTATCCTTTGCCTGCTGTTGCAGGAAGATCTTCCAGCTCGTACCCCTAAAGGAGACTTTTTCTAAAAATGATGACTATGGACAGCATGGTACTGAGGAGTCAAGTCGTGTCTTTTCTCTGCTTTGTCAGGTTCCCTTGACTGAGAATCATCTGATTGCTTGCTGAGGTCTTGGGATGGGCCAGCATTGCAGAGTGCCTGGCTGGGGCCTTTGAGGGTATCAGCCGACACTCCCTCCTCTGGCCAACACTAACACCCACCCGTGCACACGTGCCCGCCGTGCACCCCAGCTCACCGGCAGAGAACGACAGCCTTCGCCGGTGGTTGCGTTTTCTTCCCAGACTGCACTGGGAACAGTTCCAGGAAGGCCCGGGCCGTCCCGGGAGGGCCCATGGTTTATGTGTCGGTTTAGTCCTTCGGCTTTCATGCTTCGTCCCGTTTTCAGAGCCTTCTAGACCAGCCTTTCAGTCCTGGTGGTGGCGCTCAGTGTGCCTTGGGTCTTAGGCTGAGGTGGGCCTTGTGCCATGTCACAGAGGCAGCTGGAGTACTGAGTAGCAGAGGGGAGATGGCGTGTGGAGGGTGGGTCACGATGTCTGTCTCTGTGCTGTTGGTGGGCGGCCGGGGCTGTGACGAGGATGGACTTGCCCCGCTTCTCCTCATCGTGTCCCTTGTTTTAGCTTCCGTCCTTAGCCTGTTAGTCTGGCTTGTTATTGATGCAAGATGGTTTGGTCCAGATCGTTAACGGATGTAGTAGAAGGAAAGATGGTGGAAGGAGGGGACCTTGGCGGCAGTCTGAGGGGAGTGGGGCCCACCTGGGACGGCTGGAGAATCTGGAGTTGACACAGAACAGGGCCCTCTGTTTGACTTCGCCCTGTGAGGGGGTCATGGGGTCTGAGAGCCCACCTTACTAGCTTGATGGCATCTCTCTTTTGCCCTCTAAGAGACATGTTCCCACTTCTCACCCCACCTTGGCCAAGCTCCCCTTGGCCACCAGTCCTCTGGACAAAGTCTCCTGTGCCAGCGAGGCTGCACTTGGCCTAGAGGCAGTGCGGGAAACCCAACACCCATCCTCCCACCCTCCCTGATCCCCAGAGCCTCCAGCTGACACACGTGGCCTCATGTTGATTTTGAGAAGTGTTTCCTGTTGTTGAGTTGAGGATTGTTACTGGTCAAAGTGGGGGCAGGTTCCTGTCTCCAAGGTGTTAACGGTCTGGGGCAAGCAGCCTCTGGGTTACAGCCTGTGCAGTGCAGGTCAGAGAACTTCCTAGAAGCCACCAGCAGCTCTCTCCCAGAAAGAGGCGGGGCTCCAGCAGAGAGGTGGGGCTGCTCCTGCTCTTTTGAATCTACCCACCCTCCGGCTTCGGGGAAATGACTTGGTGGCCGCTGCTCGTTGGCGGGTGGCCATGCAGGTGGCATCCTCTCCAGGTGCCTGCTTGTCCTTCAAACCCTGAGTCTACGCTGGTGTGGGGAACAAAGTAATGGACTTCACCAAGGCCACTGTGCAGTGGGAGGACACTGAGCTTTTTGCCAGGCCTGGATGGTGGTCACCACACAGTGCGTCTGGAAAAATCAGTGTCACACAACTCCAATGAATTTTGTGCTTTTTGGGGAAAAAATTATTTAGGGTAACTAAACATATGAATTATTTTGAATGTAGCCTCTGGGCAGTGAATGGGATTTTGAGCTTCTTACACAATAAGTAAAATTAAATTTATACCACTGAGGGCGAGACTCTGAAAGAAGTGTGGCAGAAAGCACTTTAATTTGATGCTGCTATCTTTGTTCTCGGTTTTCATGTTCATTTGTTGGAGAGCGAGATGTGCTTGATGTGAGTTTTTCCTCTGATGCGTTTAAGGTGATGTATTTTGCCTGAATTACTCCTGTATCATTGCTGATAATATTGGACACTAAAATAAAACCTAGTTGGAAACCGTCTGTGGGACTCCTCAGTTTACTGTTCTTCTGCAAACTCTCTGACATGATGAACGAAGTCTGCAGGCTGTATTTTGAAATGGCCTTAACTTCGTTTAGGGGAAGTTCCCACTGTAATCTGCCTGTGGGGTCCTCCTGCCTCTTGGAAGGAATCCGATACTCTCAGAAGAATGAAACGCGTAACTGATCTTTGAGAGCCAGGAAATCTAGAGTGGTTTCTTTACAGATTTCTCCATAACTCTGAACCATTCATTTTTCACTTAAAAAGTAATGACTCAGACTGGTCCACCCTAGTTTGCCTTCTGAGAACTTGGTTGTGACCTTTTCTTTCTTTCTTTCTTTGTGTTTGGAGGGCCCTCAGCAGTGGCTTGGGCATGACTAGTCCGTTTCGCTGGCTCCGCACACCTGTCCCCTGGGTTCTGCACCGCCCACCGCCCGCCCTGCCCATCCATTTCAGTGGCTTCCACACCTCAGTGGATGGCATCCTCACCCCTCCAGATTCCCAGGTTACAAACTTGGGGCGTCATCCTGGACTCCTCAGTTGCACGTGCTACATCCCATCTGTCAGTTTCTGTCTTCAAAATAAACCCAGCCCCTGACCACATCGTCTACTCCACTCACAACCACAGCTCTGACCCAGGTATTGCCCCCAACCCAGCCCCTCCCTCCACCCTCGCCTTCCTGTGCTTGTTTCAAAGCAGCAGCCAGAGTGACCTTGACATAGGTTGGAAATAGAACTCAGCTCTTGTTACATATTTGCTCTAAATACTGCTCTGGCTCCCTGTCCCACCCAGAATCAAGGCCCACGTCCTTGCGGTGACCTTTCAGGATCTGCTGCCTCTGACTGCCCCTCCCTCTGCTCCCTCTGTTTTGGCCACACTGGTCCCTGCTCTTCCTTGAAGCTGCTGAGCACACTTCTCCGGGAGGCCCGTGCCTGGGCCGACCCCCTGCCCTTTGGACAGCGTCAGGCTGACTCTGTTACCTCCAGGTCTGCCCAGACCCCCCAGTTAAAACTTCCTTTCCTTCCCTCTTTCCTGGGACTTCCAAGTACCCTCACCTGAGCATCATCTGAGAAATACTGTTTTGTGTCTCCACCTGCTGGAGCACAAGCTTTAAGAACATAAGCAAAATGTGAAATGTCTGTTTTGTGTATTGACATCTCGGCCAGCGCCAGGCCTAGAATCCGAACTCAGGGAATCCTTGGTGATTTAACGAACTTTGTCCTGATAACACAGTCAACCCTCTAGCGCTGGGGGACAGAACTAATAATTGCTACTGGAAAGTTCCTATAGGTGGGCATGGCACCGGGGGCTTTGAAGTGTGTTGTGTATTCAGTAATTAGCATTTTCAACCCCACTGTGAAAACAGGCTCAGAGAGACTGAGATTCTCAAACCTCAGCAGCCGGAGGGATGATGCAGCCTGGGTTGGAGCCCCATCCTAATTCCCCAAAGCCCAGTGGCTTTTGGACTTTTTTTTTTCATCCTGACCCATTTTTAGAAATTCGTCGTGATTGAGTACACACATAGAAGTCAGTCATTAGCCCTTTTCTGCACTGCAGAGGTGTTTCCTCATCAAGAAGCTGCTCTTTGCAACCCACTAAACTGCACACCAGCCACTCCTGGATCATGACTGGTAGTTTGAAGAAAGGTGTTCCACCCCGTCTGCCTCACTCCACACCTCCTAGTTCTCTGTTCCCAGTCAAGGCCAGACTCATTGCTGTGGTTTCTCATACCACCTCCACCCACTGAGGGTTCTGGGGAATAAAGAGTCTGAGATTTTTGGTCCTTCAGTAACAATGTCACCATTTAGTCACAAAGTACGTAGCACAAAGTACGTGGCCAAGAGTGTACATCTCTGTTCCAAGCGCTGGGCCTTCCTTACAGATGTCAGCTAAGTTCACTCCGACCTCCAGGACAGAGCCTTCTGTCTCTGAGTCAGACTCTAAGGCTTGAGATTTTATTGAGGGCTTGACATGTGTCAGACATGTAGCTGCAGGAACTCAAATCCTCTCAAACACCTAGTCATCTGTTTTTCCCCTTTGTACAAATGAAGAAGTTCATTAATTCAGCAAAATATTTTGAGTGCCTGCTGTGTGCTGAGCACGGTTCTGGGCATTGGAGAGACAGCAATGAATAAGGTGGATAAAACTCCCTGCCTCTATGGAGCTTGTATGCTAGTTGGAGAAGGCAGACAGCAGGCAAAGCCGTTGAGTAAAAGACATAGAAGGTAAGGGCTATGGTGGAAAATGAAGCGGGGAAGGTCAGGGAAGACGTAACAAGAGTGTGGTTGGGGCAGGCCTCGCTGAGAAGACGACGTTTGAAGACCTGAGTGAATTCAGTGGGGAACGGACCCCTGTGGATATCTGGGGTGGGGCATTCCAGGCAGAGGGAGCTGCATGTGCAAAGGCCCTGATGTGTGAGCATGCCCAGTATCTTCAGAGAACAGAATGAGACTAGTATGGCTGGAGCAGAGTGAGGGAGGTGGAGAGTAATAGGAGATAAGGTGTGAAAAGGAACCAGGGGAGACTGGGGTCTCGCAGGCCATTGTGAGCACCTTGGCTTTACTGGGAGCGAGGAAGATGCCATTGGACAGTTCTGGGCCATGGGCTCTCGTGCTGCTATGGCAAGAACAGACAACAGAGAGCAAGGATGGAAGCAAGGAGACCAGTCAGGAGGCGATGGCAACATTCCAGAGAGGAGAGGATGGTGACTTGGACCAGGCAGTTGTGATGGAGGGGGTGAAAAGTGGTCAGTGCTGGAGAACTTTTGAAGACAGAAATGATATGATGTGTTGACAGACTGGATGAGTCATGGCTGACTCGAGTTTTGTCCTGGGCACATGGTAGGATGGGGAAGCAGGTTTGGGGGAGAGGGTCAGGAGTTTCATTTTGGATAAGCTGAATTTAGGATCCCTCTTCCGTAGTTGGACATGTGAATTTGGAGTTCAGGTGAAGTCTGGCCTGGCGATGCACACTGGAGAGTCACCAAGTGGATGGTGTCTTGGCCAGGGTTCCCAAAATGTAGAGCCTAAAGTGGAGAGCTTGTGCACCCTCATTTTATTCTGCAGAACAACCCGGAGAGATGCAGTGAGGGAGGGGGGAGTTGGGAGGAGAGAGAGTCAGCAGAAGCATGCATGGTGGAGTTTGCTGCCACCAAATGTGACTCTGTGAAGCCATGTAATGAGTCTCAGCTCCATTTCTTCATGGGGAGGAAGGGGGCAGAGTTTATCCATGGTCTCCCTCTTCCGGTTGGGTGAAGATTTGCCCTGTGGGGTACTGACTCCATGCATTTCTGGGTTGCATATGAAAATGCTCAGGTGCCAAGGTGGACCCCCGGATGGGGGTGGAGGTCAGAGGGGCAGGGTATGGGCAGGGGGTGTGGTTGGGCAGGTTGTGTTTGCATCAGATCAGCTCAGCCGAGGCAGAGCTGGACAAGAGGCAAGTAAGGCCAAGAGGGTCTGGAGGGGTCACTCCTCCAACCCACCCAGATCTGCTATTGCTTTTCCTCCCTTATTCCCCCAAAGGGGAGGGCGACGTCCCATCAAACAGAGTTCCCTTCAAGGTGACATGGCCTGGCCCTCATCCACCCCCATTCTATCTTCCTTTACCCTGACCAAAGCTACAGCTGGCAAACATTCCTTTTCATTCCCATGGTCTCCATTGTATGGAAACACATTTAGTTTGTCCATTTGTGAGTTGATGGACATTTGGATTATTTCCCTCTTTTTGTGGCTATTATGAATAATGCTGCCAGGAATGTTCTTGTACAAGTCTTTGCGTGGACATATGTTTTCATTTCTCTTGGGTAAATATCTAGCACTGGAATTTCTGGGTCATTCGGTGAATTTATATCTAACTTTTAAAGATACTGCCAAACTCTTCTCAAGTGATTGTACCATTTTACATTCCCATGAACAGAGCACATGCGTTCCAGTTTTTCGCCATCCTCGCCAACACTTGGTAGAGTGTCTTTAATTTTATATGCCATCATTTTAGACATAGAAATAGTTGTGCAGTGGCATCTCGTTGTGGTTTTATTTTACACTTACCTATTGAAGGGAGCCCAGAGCAAGAGAAGACTCTATAGAAAGCCAGACTGGGATGAAAGCTGGTGCTAGAGGTATTCATGGTAGGTAAGGATGCTGTGTGGGATCTCTCACTAACTTCAGTGGGAGAGTTCTATGATGTAGAGCATCTTTTCATGTGCTTATCTGCTGTCTCTATGTAGCTCTTCTTTGGCGAAATATCTTCAATTCTTTCACCCATTAAAAAAAATTAGGTTGCAATGTGGGTGGGCATCATCCAATTCCTTGAGGGCCTGAACAGTAAAAAAAAAAAAAAGGCAGAAAGGGGCAAATTTGCTCTTTCTGCTGGAGCTGGGACATCTACCCTCTCCCAACTTTGAACACTGGCATTCCTCTAGCTCTCAAGCCTTTGGACTTGAAATGAATCACACCATTGATTTTCCTGGTTCTTCAGCTTCCAGACAGAGGATCGTGGGACTGTCTGGCCTCCATAATCTTGTGAGTCAATTCCTATAATAAATCTTCTCTTATTTATGTAAAAAAATTGGGTTGTTTTCTTATGAGTTGTAAGAGTTCTATATATAACCTGGATATAAATTCTTTATTACACATGCAATCTGCAAATATTGTCTCCGATCTTACGGCTTTTAGGTCCATTCTCTTAATGTCTTTCAAAGAGCAGAAGTTATCAATTTTGACAGAGTCTAATTTATCCATTCTTTCTTTTATAGATTATACTTTTGTCATCATATTTAAGAGATTTCTGCTTAATCCGCGGTCACAAAGATTTTCTTCTAGAAGTTTTATAGTTTTACATTTTACAATTAGGTCTATAATCCATTTTGAGCTAATTTTTACATATGGTACAAGCATATAGATAGAGGGTTTTAAGATTTGTATTTTCTTTTGTGGTATATGTGTCTTTGGCATATGATTGGTTCTTATACCATTTGCTGAAAAGATTGTCCTTTCTCCATTGAGTTGCCTTTGCATCTTTGTCAAAAATTAATTGATCATATACGTGTGAGGCAAGTTTTGGACTTTCTATTCTGTTCCACTGATCTCTTTGTCTACCTTGATGCCAATACTACACTCTCTTGATTACTGTAGCTTTACAATAAGTCTTGAAGCAGGTAGTGTAGGTCATCTGATTTTGTTCTTTGTTTTCAAAATTGTCTTGGCTATCTAGGTCCTCTGCATTTCCATATGAATTTTAGAAGTTCTCAATTTATACCAAGAAACTTACTGGGATTTTGCTTGGGATTGTAAGAGTCTTTCAAACCATAAACACAATGTATCTCTCCAATTATTTAATCTTTCATTTCTCACAACAATATTTTAATGTACAGGCCTTGTACTCTTTTTGGTTTGATTTATCCTGAAGTATTTCATTTTTGTATTTCTTGATGCCATTTGAAACAGTGTTTTTTAAAGTTTTCAATTTCTGATTGTTTATTGCTTATAGTAATACAGCTGATTTTTGTATATGTATCTTGCAACTTTGCAAAACTTAATGATTCTGGTAGCTTTTTTGTAGATTCCATGAGAGTTTCTATTATCATGCTTCTGTAAATACAGCTTTACTCCTTTCTTTCCATTCTATATGCCTTTTATTTTTTCTTCTTGCACTGACTAGAACTCTAGTGTAATATTGAGCTGAAGTGGTGACAGCAGACATCTTTATCTTTCCCTAACTGTAGTGGGGAAACATCGTCTTTTTTTTTAATAATTTTTTTTAAATGGAGGTACTGAGATTGAAGCCAGGACCTCTTGCATGCTAAGCACATACTCTATCACTGAGCTATACCCCCCACCCTCCCATAAGATGGATAGGTCACAGGATATATGATAGTTAATTTACCTATGCATTATCAGATCACTCTCTCTACAACTTTATTTTCTTTTTCTTTTTTTTTCAGTGGAGGGACTGGGAATTGAACCGGACCTCATGCTGCTAAGGATGTACTCTACCACTGAGCTATTACTCTCCCCTCCGTTCAGTCTTTTATTATGAAATATGCTGTTAAATGTAGGTGTCTAATAGCTGCCTTTTATTAGTGAGGAAGTTCCCTTCCAGTCTTAGTTTTCTGGGACATTCTTATTTTTATTTTTAAAGATTTAAAAATTCAATTTATTTGAACAACAAAAAAAATCCAGGTCATGCATTTCTCCTACTCCTGCCTCTTGCAACCAACCACCAATCTGTTCTCTGTATCTATGAGCTTGCTTTCTGTTTTTGTTTTGTTTTGTTTAGATTCCACATATGAGAGAGAGAATATGGCATTTGCCTTTCCTCATCTTTCTTCACTTAGCATAATGCCTACAAGTTCCATCCATATTGTTGCAAATGGCAAGATCCCCACTTTTGTATGGCTGAATAATATTCCATTCTGTGTGTGTGTGTGTGTGTGTGTGTGTGTGTGTGTGTGTGTGTGTGTGTACCACACTTTCTGTATCCATTCATCCACTGCTGGACATGTAGGTTGTTTCTGTATCTTGGCTATTGTAAATAGTGCTGTAATGAACATGTGGGTGCATGTATCTTTTCAAATCAGTGTTTTTTTCTCCAGATAAATACCCAGAAATGGGATTGCTCAATCATATGGTAGTTCTATTTTTAATTTTTTGAGGAACCTCCACACTATTTTCCATAGTGGTTGCACTGGTTTACATTTCCACCAACAGTGCACAAATGTTATCTTTTCTCCACATCCTTGCGAAAACTTATTTCTTGCCTGTTTGATAATAGCCATTCTAACACATGTGAGGTGATAACTCATTGAGGTTTTGATTTGCATTTCCCTGATGATTACTAATACTGAGCATCTTTTCATGGCCATATAGCTTTATGTCTTCTTTGGAAAAATGCCAGTTCGATCCTTTACCCATTTTTAAACTGGACTGTTTTTTTTTTTTTTGCAATTGAGTTGTATAAAGCTGGAAGATTTTTTTTTAATCAGAAATGAATGTTGCATTTTGTCAAAAGCTGGAACATCTCTTTAAGTTAAAATATTGTGGCACTTCCACTTTCAACTACTAAGAAAAGGGACAGTGCTTGGATTTTTCTGTATCTATTGAGGTAGATTTTCTTCCTTTCCTTTCGTCGGTTAACTTGGGGATTACACTGATTTTAAAAGGTTCTGGACAAGTCACTTCATCTCTCATGGCCTAATTTTTTGTTTTGTCTGTAAAAATGGGACAAAATCCATCTTAAAGCACATTTATGAGGCTGGCATGCGTTGGCATATGGACAATACCTGGCGCAAAGTAGGCGTTCCGTATAAATTTGTCAATATTTTACAGACTGGTTCATAGGTATCTGTGTTTTCATCTTACGCGCTGCCTCTCCTCCAGGCAGGGACCCCTCTTAATTCTTTCCTGGCTCCAGTGCTTACTACAGTGACAAAAAATAGGCACAGAAAATACTTGAAATAAGGTACAAAAGAATGTGTCGCTGACTGCTGCCTACCCACCGCGGACAGCCGCACCCCACGGCTTGGGGCAATGTCAGGTCCAGACTGAAACAGCCGCCACCAAAAGCGAACTAGCCCTCGGCCTCTTCCTGACCAATCGGAGCCCTTCCTCCTGGGGCCCTCCCCATTCCGACAATAGAAGTGGGCCAATCAACTGCTGATCCCCATTGTTATCCCCGCCCCAATGTTGAATCTGCGGCTTCTAAAGGCGAAGTAACGCTCGCCGGAGCGTCCCGCCTCCGTCACGCGTATGACCAATCAGAGCGGCCGCACAGGGCCCCGCCCCTGGCCAGCGCTGCGTTGGTGGGCGGGGCGGACTCCCGGCAACGCAGGCGGCGGCGGGCTGCGCGGTTCCGGGACTTCGGGGCTGTGAGTGCGGGAGCGGCGGGGCTGGGGATAGGAAGGAAGGGTTAGGCGGGTTGCCCTGCGTGCGCCCTCACGGAAGGCCCGGGGCCCGCGATAGGAAAGAAGAAGGAGGCTGAGTCTTCCTTTCCCGGGGGTCCCGCCCCTGCTTTCCCCGGCACCACCTCTGGGACTCTTACTGCCCCGGTTTCTCTTTTGAACGTCGCCTTCCCGGTGCATTGGCGCAGCTTAGCTTTCCAGAGCGCGGCCGGAGCCAGAGGAGGGCAATGCAAGCTGTTCTCTTTAACTCCGTGAGAAAACGGAGACCCTCGGACTATGGGTCGGGCCCAGAGTCGCTTGGTCAGATAAGGGCGGAGGCCTAGTCCTGCCTCCAGCGTCGTCTGTTCTCGCATCTCCGCGGTTCCTGTTATCTGCGTGAGCATATGTGGGGGCTGGGGGAGGGCAGCGTAGTCTGTCTTCTCTTTGCTTCCCCCACGCCCGCAACTGGGCCCTGAGGAGGGGACCCCAGGTGTGGGCGGTCCACAGGTGAGGAGTGGGAATGGGAGGGCTGGGGGCAGGGCAGAGTAGGATGAGAGTAGAATGTCTGGACCCAGTTTAAAAGGGATTGTGTGTTCTAGGGGAGACTGGTTGGAGGAGTCTGGGCTTGAGGCTATGAAGGAAGAGGAAGCCCCTCCCACTAGCCTGCAGAAATCCCTTCCAGTGGCATCAGTGTGTCCCGAGCCTGGATCCCTGGGGGGCCAAAAGGTGGGGGGAAGAGAAGGCGCTTTCTCAGGCCCTTCTCCTCACTGCTGGGGAAAGGCTGGCATGACCATGGACCCTGGAGCCAGATTTGGGTTCAGGTCCAGGCTTTGCCACCTACTAGATGTGTGCTTGGGGCAAGTGGCTTAACTTCTCTCAACTTTGGTTTCTTCATTTGTAAAAAGAAAGGGAAGAAGAAAAGGGGGCAGGAGAGAGGGACGAGTCCCTTCAGAAATCTGATTTGTGTTGAATTTGAAAGTTATAATGCTTTATACTTGTGGACTTGCCCTAATTGTTTTCTACAAGTTAAACTAGTCGTAATTTCATAGTTAAGGTTGTTAAAGAGGGTTTGTTCTCTTTTGACATGATGGGAAACACGCCCTGGCCAGTTTAAAAATAATAGACATTTATTGAGTGCTTACTGTGTGCCAGTCACTGACCTAAGATTTAATACGCCTTACCTCCTTTAGTCCTGGTAACAGTCTAATGAGGTAGATGCTGCTATTATCTGTTTGGCAGATGAGGAAACTTAGGCACAGAGAGGTTAAATAACTTGCCTGAGGCTGCACAGTTAGGGAGTATCTGAGTGGGGATTTGAACCCAGGCCTCTGGCTCCACAGGACAGTCTCCTTAGGGCTGTGTCTTGCTGTCTGTCTTGGCTTCAGGTAGAAGAACCCAGCTGTGAGGGTGCTCTGCAGCCTGGGAGTCTGTGACACCTACCGCAGGAAGGTAGCCCACACACCCGGGATGGTGGAGACCAGGGACTTGGCGCAGCTGCGGCAGCTCAACCTGGAGCTCCTGAGGCAGCTGTGGGTCGGGCAGGATGCCATGCGGCGGTCGGTGGCCAAGGCAGCCTCAGAGGTGAGCTCCTTGGCCAAGTCCCAGGGCTGAGGGAGAGGCTGGCTAACCCTCAGGCTGGAATCCCGGCCTTTGGGGGTCATCTGCAACGTGCCCATTTTATTGATGGTGAGAAAACCAAGTGAGGCCCAGTGTGAGAGGGATTGGCCTGGGACACTGCAGAGGCTGGAGCAAGGCTGAGGACCAGAACTTCATCCCTAGTGCAGGCCAGCTGGGTGGGTGACTGGGTGACCTGGCCTCTGTGTTCCAGTCAAGCCTGGACTCCAGCAGCAGCTATAACTCAGAGGTGCCATCATCTCAAGAAACGACCTGCATGGCCTCCTGCCCACAGGGTGCCCACCACAGTGACTCCTGTAATAGGTCCTGGCCTGGCGGAGCCAGCTCGGGCGTGATCTCTCTCCCACTTACTGAGTGCCAGCACCAGAAGTCTCTGGGCCCACTGAGGCCCCAGTCAGCTCCCTTGCTGGCCAGCTCAGACTCGAATGACCCAGAGCTTTCAGCAGAGCTGGACAGTCTGGGGACCCAGGAGTCACAGGCCCTGAGGTCCGTCCTGGCCCGACGAAGCAAGTTGTCTAAGGTAACTTGGGAGAGCAGGGCATCCATTGATGGGCACTTCCTTAAACCTCAGTTTCCCTCTGCCTAAGGGGTGCACTCATGGGCAGCCTCCCTTCCAGGGCGTGGGACTCCCAGGAGATACTGTGAGTTGTGTCCAGCGCAGCCTAAGTGCTTGAAAAGTTTTGGCCATTGGTTTCTCAGAGAGCACTTTGGAAAGAAGATGACGAGCCCCATTATGCAGATAGGAATACTGAGGCCCAGAGGACAGACTTGTTCAAAGTCACACATAGAGGGTGATGGGGCCAAATTCTGGTCTTCCAGCCTCCAAGCCGCCAGCAGAGGCCCGGGGCCCATGTCAGGGTCTAAGTTAAGACACGGGCCCTCTCCTCCTTGCAAAGTGGGGCCTCCTTTGGGCTGTTCCTGCTGGCCTAGTCTTTGTCCCTCTTTGCCTCCCACCTCAGCCAAGAGTGACCTTCGACAAGGAGTCTCCAGTGCCTGAGAGGAGCTGGCGCCTCAGACCGTACCTGGGCTATGATTGGATTGCAGGTGTGGCCCTCCCCCGTGCACACGCCCTGCCTGGGAGCGGGGGTGGGGGGAGGTGGGGGCCCAGCTTGCTTATGCCCCTGCCTGAGCCCCCACCAGGTGCTGCTGCTGATTCTTTGACTGTCCCACTCTCCTCAGTGAGGACCTTCAGTATTGTGTCTCCTCTCTCGGCCGTTGGCACAGAGACGGTGCCTATCAAGTGCTTGTTGAATGAATGAATGAGACAACTGTCCTTTTTTTTTTTTTGGTCATTTATTGTGTGCCAGGCCCCTGCAAAGTTCTGTATGTGTAGCATCTCTTTGCATTTCATTGCCCATCCTCCCACCCCTCTGCACCTCAGTGGCCTCCTGGCTGGTCTCCCTCTGGCCTCTTTCTCCCTCAGTACCATCTTTTCTTGTTGTTGTTCTTTCCAGGTTTGCTCTTCGTTTCCAACCATTTTGACACAGCAGCCAGAACAAATTTTTGAACGTGGGAATCAGGTCATGTCACTCAGAGTCCTTAGCTCTTAGAGTAAAATCCAAAATCCTTATCTAGACTTATGAGATGTGAGGCCTGGCCTCTGCTGGCCCCATGGCATGACCTCTAACCTTCTGACTTTTCCCTCCAGCCTTGCTGGCCTCCTTGAACCTGCCGTGGTCACAGCCACCTCAGGACTTTTGCACTTGCTCTTCCCTCTGCCTGGCATGCACTTCCCCAGGTTCGCATACGCTGGTTCCTTTCCATTACTGAGTGTTCAGTTCCAGTGATAGATCTTCCGTGAGCACAGTGTCATAGGGCCACTGTCCCTGCATTATTGCCTCCTGCATTGGCCATTTGTATGGTCTTCACGTTATTCATTCTCAGAAGTCACCTTGTTTGCTTTTTTCTTGTCTGACTCTAGTAGATCATAAGCTCCGTTGGACCAGGGGCTTGGCTGTCTTTTCATTGCTCTGTTTCCCAAGCCTGAGCCTAGAATGGTGCCTGGCACATGGTAGGCCCTCAACCAGCACTGGTTAAGTGAGCGAGTGCAAGTGGGCAGTCCTTTGAGGTTGGTGCTGTTGGATCCTCATTTCAGAGGAAGAAACATGCACAGAGAGGTTGAGTTGCTGCCCAAAGAGGGGTGCTCTTTGGGGTTGCTGGGACCCACAGTGGTGGGATCACAGGCCCCGTCCCAAGGACTTCCCAGACTGCCAGCTCACTGCCTTGCTTCGGGTCTGGAAAGTGGATGTGCCCGCCCCCGCCTGCCCTGTGTCTGTGTGTCCCCTCCTTCCTTTCTGAGCTCCCATCTCTGGCTCGTTCCTGCATTTGCGCGCTCGGCCCCATCCCCTCTCGGCTCCCAGAGGGTTTGCCCCCTGTAACTCCCTCCTTTCCTTCCTCCACAGTCATTCTGCCCCATCAGCACGTGAACACCCAGGACTATTAGTGAGCACTGATTTTACTGAGTGGCTGTTACGTGCAGGGCCCTGTTCCAAGAGCTTTACTCTGCTCCACTCCCATCAGCTCCTTTACTCTTCACACTGATCTGATTGGGTTAATGCTGTTACTGTCCCTACTGACAGATGGGAAGGCTGAGGCACCAGGAGACGGAGGAACTTAGCCAAGTCTCACATCTGGTTGGGGTAAAGCTGCAGTCTGGTATTTCCCATACTGATAAAGCATCTCTCCTTTTACCTTCTGTTTGCTTCTAGTTACCACCCACGTTCTCTGCTTTTCTTTATAACAAAGCTCCTCAAGAGGCCACTGGACTAGACTTGCTGTCTCCAGTTTCTCTCCCCAACTTTTTTTTTTTTAAATGGAGGTACTGGCGATTGAACCCAGGACCTCGTGCGTGCTAAGCACATGCCCTGCCACCGAGCTATACCCTCTCCCTGACTTTTTCTTAAATCGGGCTTCAGCCCCTGGCACCCACTGAGGCCATCCTCGGCTGAGTCATCAGTGACCTCCTGGTTCAGTTCTCATTCAACATCTTTCTTGGCCCCAGGCGAGGACACAGCGGCCACTCCCTCCTTCCTGAAGCTCTTTCTTCCCTTGACTTGCAGACCCAGGCACTCCCCGACTGCTCTGTTCATTCTCCTCCGCTAAATCTGCCTCCTTATTCCAACCTCCAAACTCCTGAGGCCCCCTTAGCACTAGTGTTTTCCACGCTGTCTTCTCCCCCATTTATCTATCTCCAGCTATCTCCAGCCCATGCTGCTCCTTGAACTCCAGAATTGCAGATCTGGCTTTCTTCTCTGCCTAGCTTGTTAGGTGTCTCAGATTCATGTTACGTCCAAAGTCAAGGTCCTGCTTTCCACCCCTCGTATTCCTCCTGCAGTCTTTCCTGTCTCTGTAAATGGCAACCCCATTAATGGAGCTAACGGCCATCATCTCAATCAGCCTTGATTACGCCTCTCCTTTTGACATATTCCTTCTCTAGTCCATCAGCACATCCTAGTAACAACATAGTTCTAGAATTCGACTACTTGTGCCCACCAGGATGCCTGAGGTAGCCTCCTACCTGGTGTCCCTGCTTCCCTCCACCTTGCAGCAGCCAGAGGGGCAATACTGTAAAAGTACGTGGCTGATCTGATGGTGTTGCGCCTTGTCCCCAAACCCTTCACTGGCTTCCCGGCCTCCTCTCCTCTACCCTCACCCCTCTACCCACTTCTCTTCCTGGATGTTCTTAAAACATACCAAGCACACGCCTACCCCAGGACCTTTGTACTTGCTCCTCCATCTTCCTGGGATGTCCCCATGGCTCCCTCCCTCCTTTTATCAGGTGTCACCTCCTCAGAGAGGCCTCCCATGCCTTCCCTGCCTGACCAAGCTTGGTTTCCTGGCTCTCTTACTTTCTGGCGGGTGTCACCTTTTGACTTTGTATCACAGGTTTCTCTGGTGACTAGTTCATCTGTTGCCCCGTATTAGCATGTAAGCCTCACGAGGGCAGGGCTTTGCCCAGGTTACTGCTCTTTCCCCAGCACGTGAACAGTGTCTGGCTCTGTAGTAGGGGCTCTCTAAATGTTTTTACGTGGAATATGGGTATGTGTGAAGTTAAACAGACATAGACACAAAACCAACAGTCACATGAGTGGAGGGTCCCCTCCAGGTCCGTGCGAGGCATGGGAGGGGCAAAGCAGGTGGCCTGGGGTGCCCGCGCCTAGCATCCCCTGAGTCTTGGCCACACAGCAGCTTCTCTGTGCCTCGTCCCCTCCAGGGTCCTTGGACAATAGCTCTCCCATCACCAGCAAGCCCGAGGCCTTCTTCGCAAAGCTGCAGAAGTTCCGGGAAGCTAACAAGGAGGAGTGTATTTGCAGTGACCCCGAGTGAGCAGGGGTGGGCAAGGGGTGGGCAGGGCAGCTCAGGGTCTGCGTCGCCCTGGTCTGCTCACCCTGGTCTGCTCACCCTCTCGCCCTCACAGACCCCAGTTCCTAGGCCTGCGGGAGAGCGGTGCCGTGGAGGGAGATCATGAGTGTGAGTGTAAATGCTCGGTGGCCACCTGTAGCTCAGCCAAGGCCTAGGTGCCTGGGGAGGCAGCTGAGGTGCTGGGGACTCGGGGAGGGAGGTCTGGGGTCCAGACGGGGCGCGGCAAGCCCTGGGTTGGGGGTGGGGGAGAGCTGAGGCCTGGCCTCGTGGGGAGTAGGGCCGCCTGTGCCACCCTCCTCTCCACTCCCCAGCCACCTTCATTTCCCCCCCCAGCTGCCTCATTTTCCCTCCTTTCTGCACATCGGCGGCGGGGGGGAATGCCAGCTCAGTCACACGAGCACCTGAGTCAGCTGTGGATTTGCACTTGCAGCATACAGTGTAAATACACATGTACACATGTGTGTGAGGTACATGGACACAGGTATATGTGCACCCTGTGTGTGTGATTACACGTCAGCACGTGCACGTATGTCCACAAACGACTCAGCGAAGCCATACATTGTGTTTGCGCGGGTGACGTGCACATGTGAAGATGCAAGCATGTGCACACAGGTGTCATGCTTGTGTAGAAGGGGTTGCTCAGTGTGCACGTGGGCACGTGTACACGCACATGCTGTGTCTGTGCAGGTGGCCAGGCCTGTGAGCGTGGCTGTCGGGGGAGTGGAGGGGTTGGCGGGCCTGCGTGGTCGGGGCCCAGGGATCTAGGTGCCCTGGCTGAGCGGGACTCCTGCTTCTCGCGGGTCTCACAGGCATGTACTGGTACCGTGTCAATCGGCGCCTGTTTCTGGTGCCTTCGGATCCTGGCACCCCCTGCCGTCTGTGCAGGACACCACGGGACCAGCGGGCTCCTGAGACCCTGGCCCAGCCAGCGCAGGTCAGGTGAGCGGCCGGAGCAGGCAGAACACCCACCCTGAGGGAGCTGTAGGGGCCCCGGCTGCGGAGAAGAAGAGCCTGGGACCCACGGTTTTGAGGGAGGGCAGGATGGGCCATAGCAGCCAGGAAGCACCTACAGCAATGCCCCTGCTGTCACCCCTGCCCAGGGTGAGCGTCCCACTGTCTGTCCTGGACCCCCCACACCGGTACCGCATCCACCGGCGGAAAAGCTTCGATGCCTCCGACACGCTGGCGCTGCCCCGGGTGAGGATGGGTGTGGGCTGACCCCTGTCTGGCTGGGTCCCTGGATGAGTCCTGCCTGAGGCCCAGAGAGGGTCAGGACTGTCCCAAGGCCACACGGTGAGGCTGGGCTCAAGGACCCAAGTCTGTGGAGTTCATGGTGGGCCACTGGCATCACCGTACTGTACTGTTTGTTCCCTGAGGGAGATGGGGCTCCTCCCTACCTCACGGCTTCCAGGAGAAGTGTCTGCCCGCATATTGGTCTAGTGCAGAGGGATCCCATTTCTTGAGCTCTCGTGTGCTGTGTGCACAGTCCTTAGGAGGATTATCTTGTGGAACCACAGCAACCAAGAGTACTGGTGTTATCCCACTTTACAGATGGAGACTGAGGCAAAAGGGAGGTGACTTGTTCAAGGTCAGCCAGGTGGAAGAGCTGGGATTTGAACCCAGGTCCTTATGCTTCCATAGTGTCTCCTGGGTAGGACAGGGGTCAATGGGGACCCCACTCCCAACTGAGGCTGGGGAAGCTGGGGTTGGCGGGAGAGAAGGGGTGCTGAGGAAAGTCAGTTTGCTCTTTTGTGAAATGGGTATAAATACCGTCCTCAGGCTTATGGGGTGAGGTGGGGCAGGTCAGTGAATCAAACTTGTCAGGGGCTTGGAGCAGAACCTGTCACGCAGGATGAGCTCCGCCAGTGTCCACGGCCTTCCCTCTGCCTATGTGTGGTCGAGGCCCAGGGCCTGGGTCAGCAGGGTTTGGAAAGAGGCCTGGGGTAGCAGTGGGTGGACACAGACCCCTGTCCAGGGGGAGCCTCAGTCTGTGGAAGACACTGACTATTTGGGGACCCCTTCACCCTCACGGGGGACACAGCCGTGTCTTAGAGGATACTGCCAGTCCAAGAGGAGAGGTACAGCCCCTCCCTGGGGTGTGCTCAGGCAGCCAGGAGCCCTGCCCCAGGCCAGGCACCTTAACCCCTTGTTCTCCACAGCACTGCCTCCTGGGCTGGGACATTCTTCCTCCAAAGTCTGAGAAAAGTTCAGCCCCCAAGAGCCTGGACCTCTGGTCCTGTGTCTCCTCTGAGGCCCAGCACCGGAAGCTGTCAGCCGCCGGCCCTTCCTGCCAGGTATGGCCCAGGGCGCCCTGGGAGAATCAGATGCCTTGGAGCAAGCCTGAGGACTGCAGAGTCCCTTGGGGGCAGGACTTGGGTGGGAGTGCAGAGCCTGGAAGTGACTGTGGGGTCTCGCCCCCCTGGCCCTGACCCATGGCACCCCTCTAGGCTTCACTGCTCCGTATTGGTTACCCCACTTTGGAAGGTGACCCCAAGTCTGAGACCCAGAAGGAGATGAGGCTGGAAATGGGGGGAACCTGCCCCCAGAGTGGCCCCTCTGACAGCTCTCCCTTCCCTATCCAGGCCTTGCCAATGCGGGTCCCACCCCCAACCCCGATCTGGTCAGAACCCTTGGTGCCCCAGCCCTGCGCCCCCCAGCTAAAGCCCTGAGGACTGGCCACCTGGAGGACAGTGCCTCTGCTGTCGTCCCAGCCTCTCCCCTCTGGCAGGGGCACCCATGAGTGAGGAGCCCTGCCAAGCACAGCTGGAGGTGGACTCAGGCCCCACCCACCTAGGCTGAGCAGGTGGGTGGGCCCAGGCCTGTCTTCTTCCTGGGGACAGAGGTGGGTGGGCTTTGAAGTCAGGGTGAGGGGATTCTGTGACACGTTTGTAAATAAAGTTCAGAGCTCCCTGCAGCTCCTGGTTCCCGCGTGTGCTGGGTCTGCCCTGCTGGTGCCCTTGGTGCCCGGGAGGTGCCCCGGCCTCAGCCTACACTCTCCTCACCTGGAGAATGATGCTTCTGACGACCTGTGCTGGGCGGGTTGAACCCAGCACCCTGAGTGTTGCTCTTTGTGCAGCTCCCAACTGTGGGTGTGTGGCCTCCCCAGACAGATGAGAGTGAGGGTCCCCCAAGTAGGCTGGGACCAAGGTCAGCATTAAAAAGCCATCTCAGTGGGGTATAGCTCAGTGGTGGAGCGTGTGCTTAGCGTGCACAAGGTCCTGGGTTCAATCCCCACTACCTCCATTTATTTTTTAAAAAAATCATCTCAGCAAGGAGATTGGGGTTTCAGGCTGTCCCCTATGGGATGAGGCTGAAACTGTGACAGTGGGGAGTGAGTGAGCCCTCTTCTTGGTCCCTGAAATGGGGGATCCAGTGATGGAGGGGCTCTCTTGAAGTCCCTGGGCCAGGTGGCTCCATTGCTCCCAGCCCTAGAAGCCACAGGTGATCCAGAGCCCCAGCTGGGACACGTTAGGGATGGAGGGCCAGGATTCAGAATCAAAGCAGGTTGGCTGAGAGCCCAGATCAACCCTCTTGGATTAATTAAGAGGACCTGTTTTTCCTCCATAGGTTGAGCAATATGAAATTCCTGATTTTTAGGATAAAAATGGAATAGATGGGGAACTTAAGCCCAGAGAAGGCATGTGCATTTTCTGAGGTTTCTAGCTTAGAGAGGTGGCGCTCAGGCTGTGGTCCCCTGTGGCTTCCACCTGGAGCTTGTGAAGCAGAGAAACCCTTCTTCTCCCCATCATTCACAGCAAATATGTTAGTCAGGATAAGTGAGGTTATGCCACAGTAACAAATTAACCCCCAAATCTCAGGGGCTTGACATAAAGGCTATTTCTTGCTGACTTGCTCACACTACCTGTCTGTCATGGGCCCCATGGGGCCTCTGTTTTTGACATTGTCTTTCGGGGACCCAGGCCAACGGAGGCCCCACCGTGGAGGAGATCACCAGTTGCTTCAGCCCAGAAATGACACACAGGTCACTTCTGCTCATGGTTCATTGACCAGAACTAGTCACATGGGCCCTGCCTGATAGCAAAAAGTCAGGACATGGAGGGGGGCTCACCGGATATTGGGTGAGCCTTACTGTCCACATCCTGCCTTCCCCAGGTCTGTCCATGCAAGACAGACACACAGACTTTCCAGGCCTTTTGCAAAAATAACAGGCACTACGAACTCTCACCTAAAAGCCTTCCCTCACTCCATCTGGGGTTCCAACCTGAAATGCCTCAGAATCCAGACAGGTAAGGTGGGCTCAGGGCCACCTGGTGTGCACATGTTCCCTCCAAAGGCTTTCAAGTTCAAATGCCTCAATGGTGCAAATTCTGCGTGTCTGGGCAGGTTCAGTAGCAGGTCATGATTTGCCGCTTGCTTGAGTCTGGCACCTGGAGAAACAGTCTCCTACTTGTAATTTTTAAATCAACTTTAGAATTGATTTTTGATTATACAAAACATACATAACGTAATTGATCACTTTTATATGGTGGCATTGAGTGCATTCACAGTACTGTGCTGTGTGACCATCACCGCCAGTCATCCCCAGACTTTTTTCTTGTTGCAAAACCCAAACTCCACACCAATTAAACACTAACTCTGGCCACTGCCATTCTACTTTGTGTCTCTGAATTCGACTACTCTTGGTGCCTCATACAAGTGGAGTCATGGAGTATTTGTCTTTTTTGTTCCTTACTTGGCTTCTTTCATTTAGCATAATGTCCTCAAGGTTTATGTTGTACAGCATCAGAATTTCCTTCCTTTTTTTTTTTAAGGCTGGAAAGTATTTCATTTTACAGCTCCACCACATCTTGCTTATCCATCCATCCATCCGCCGGTAGACCTTTGTGTTGCTTCCCCCTTTTGTTATTGTGAATGATGCTGCTGTGAACCTGGATGGACAAATATCTGTTTGAACCCCTGTTTTCAGTTCTTTTGGGTATGTACCTCAAAGAGGAACTGCTGGGTCATATGGTCATTCTAGGTTTAATTTTTTTGAGGAATCACAGTACTGTTTTCCAGAAGAGCTGCACCATTTTACATTCCCACCAACAACGGAGAGGGATTCCAGTTTCTCCACATCCTCACCAATGCTTGCTTCCTGTCTTTTTGATGGTAGCCATCCTAGTGGGTGTGACGTGATATCTCATTTAGGTCTTTCTTTCTTTCTTTCTTTTTAAGTGAAAGCAGGTTTAATCAGGGAGATACTCCTCCACAGGCAGAATATGGACCACCCAGTGAGAGGGAGAGAGAACACGAGGTGTGGGGGTGTTTAAAGTATACATACCATGAAGATACACATGCCATAGACAGAGTGCCGGCCGTCTCAGAAGGCAAGGGAGAGTGGCCGCTCGTTATTGATTTGATTTGCATTTCCCTGATGATTAGCGATGTTGAGCATCTTTTCCTGTACTTAGAGGCCGTTTGTATATCTTCTTTGGAGAAATGTCTAATCAAGTCCTTTGCCCATTTTTTTTAACATTTTTTGTTGATTTATAATCATTTTACAATGTTGCGTCAAATTCCATTGTTCAGCACAATTTTTCAGTCATTCATGGACATATACACACTCATTGTCACATTTTTTTCTCTGTGATTTATCATAACATTTTGTGTATATTTT